GGGTTGGAGGCAAATTGCGGAAGGAAGCATTCCTATTGGGCCGCAAGAATCCAAAGGCGGCCTATTTTTGTGATGTGAATGCAATACAAGTGGGGGGGTCGGTGCGGACCCAACAGCCAATAGTGGTTAGCACATTGCTGGAAGCACAACTTCTGCTCCAAAATTTACGTTTAGCGGTGATTTTGGGATGCTTTTGCAGACACACAACCTTTTCATGCAACCTAAAGCACATATACAAAATCTTGTAAAGTCAACTCTCACCTTGGCCAACACACTTAACCAAAAACTTATGCGCGACATGTGTGACCAAGTTGATAATTAATAAATACTAGAGCCATTCAAATTGGAATCATTAGGTCGAATAGGCACGGCCATGATCATTTTCGATCCAAGAGATGGAATGATCATACCTACTATGATTAGTTCGTCAAACGATTACTTGGTCGTTGTTTTGAACAAGCACCGATCTCTGATCTTATATCTAAGGGTTGGAAAATGCAAGATAATATCAAATCGGTGCCAGTTGCTCAGATAAGCCATCGGCGTTATCAGTTTCTTTCATCGTACGTCAGCTCTATATCCTAGTACAGTTTACCAACTAACATGTCTCTAGTTTGAGAAGATATATAATAATACACTCCTCCAGAGCTAGTTCAATTCCTCTTCTTGTTTTTCGACGTTGTTGTTGTTTTGAAATACACAGGCGGCAGAAGTCTCTCACATGACATTGTTGGGAGTAAACACCTCAAAAGCATCCTCATCCACGGTACGCACAGACTGCTGCGTAGGGTCAATCGAAGTCTTCCCTTCTCTGGGGAGTTGGAATCCGACAAAAATGCATGAATATCCAATAAAGACTCATCTCTCAGTTGCATATATATCTTAGTCAGTTCAGTTTTCAATTACATGGTATATGGAAGTGTCATGGAATAGATCGGTTAAGAAATCCAGAGGTTGGGCACAAATCACACACTCTTTTGTTTCTATTTATAAGTCACTTCCAACATATTTCATACAGATTAAGAAAAACCTTAAATTTTATTAATTCTCATTTAAAATCCAATAACTTTATAATTTTATCCCTATTTAATATATATTATACCTTGTGATAACAAAGTTAGCACAATAATACATGAAGGGTAAAATTGCACATCTATGTCAAAAGTTTCTCTCCCTACCCTATAAACAGAACAAAAAAAAAACTATTTTCTCTCTATCTTATAAATAGGACCACATGAGTATTTCAGGTTTACACCATTGAACATAAATCCAAGGGCTACGGGACCCATGCTCTGTGTGCCACCATCCAGTTCATAATGCATCCCCAGGTGTAGGTCATTGGCAATATACTCTCTTTACTCTCTGGCGTGAACTAATTATGCCGATCAAATCTTGTTTGAACACCAGCCATGGACAGAAGGCAAAGGAGTTCAACTTCCAAATGTTAAATCATTGTATGCAGAAAAGTGTACCAAACTAGCTACATTTTGCCATCCTCTTCATCAGATATAAGTTGAAAACTAATTAAACACTTCTAAATAAAACCCAAAAGATCAAATGCACATAGTTGAAGTCTCCAAGTAAAGCTTCACGGTGCTTATCTTTGCTTGGAATTGATTCACATGCTCTATATCTGCATATCAGAGTTTACTTAGATTAGAGGTTTAGACTTTGGACAACTTGCTGAAGAAATTTATGACAGTTTGGGGCTTTTTTCCGTTTAGAAACACTGATATTGGGAATAGCAAATATAATGCCTCATAATCTGCCCAAGAATTCACAACCATTGTGAAAAAAAACAGACATTAGCTAATGAAAGATTCGAGTATGTACCACCACATGAAGTTAAAAAATTCTCACAAAAAAATTTCAATCTGGATAGACCATTTTTGCTAGCAATTGTTGAACTATTTTGTGCTCGCAACAAATTTTGGCACAAGATCATTTCGCATGTCATTTTTTTTTATATCCGTTTGGCTGTTGCTCTGTCGGCATATCTGAGCACAAAAAGAAACATCTGCAGTAAGCAGATACTTCATGAGCCTTTTGTATTCAAGTAGCAGCGTAAAATGACTGCTAGTGTGTGCTGACTTCATATCCTTAGAACATTACTCCAAGCTTCAGCAGACATAAACAATACTTCTGGGATCGTACATAACCTGAAACCATGCCATTAAGCAACGCATGTTCAACGCTAACACCATACTTGGCAATAAATTAAATCATGCACTTATGGTTCAGAGTTTTATGAAAAGGAGTAGATTTCGTGAATCAAGCACTACAAAAAAACAGACTTTAGGTGATGATTTTCGGCAGCGACTTTTATAAGTCGCCGCTGAAAGTCAATTTTTTTGTAGTGAAGATACCTTACATTGGAAATGCAAGAAAATTTAGTTCTTCAAAATAGATTCAAAAACTCCCCTTGTCAGTTCTAAAAATTTGTTTTTTTCCCAATTTTTTCCTTAACCAGAATAAGGGTTGCCCCTACCTTCTCCTGGTAATCATCACATCCCCCATGCGATAGTTCTCTTCAGACTTAATAGATATAATTCACAGCAGCAAGTGAATCAAATAATTGACATTGGAGATCCCATAATCTAGGAATTGATTATTTCCTTTTCAAAACTCTACCCTATAGGGATAATGCTAGCTTCACCGTTATATTAGCTAGTAGACACCACAGCATTAATATGGACAATCTACCTCTTGGAAAGGAGACGAGATCGGCAGAACAAGAGGAAGAGTTGCAAACTTCCGGTTTCCCATTCAGAGTACTAGCAATTTCAACACAGAAAAATCAGCTCCTACAAAAAAGGAAAACTTTAAAAACAAATATAGCTATGTAGTTCAAAACGAAGCCAGGAACTAACAGAAAATGGTAAAGGGGGTTTTACAGCCCATGCAAACAAAAATATCAGCTTTTGTTTTCATTCAGCAGGTTAGTCATACGTGCACTTACCTTTGTCTGCAATCTGTAGTTTGCCTGTGGTGGAAAAGTGGAATATAAAGCTTGCAGAAATTAGAAATGAGATTTATAAGAACAGTTCCTCGGTTCGTTGTCTTTCAAGCGCTCATCAGAAGGTCATTTTAGAACGTTCACAATCACCCTGTTTCTCGCGGGTGCCTATAGTGAAAACAACTTAACTTCATTCTTCAATAAATAATAATGATAATGATGATGATATATCATATCATCCTCCTCCTCCTAAGCCGTAAAGTCCAAACTGGCTCCTAAAGCCCAAAATGAACCCAATGTCAATATAAGTCTTATATGTAGCCCAGTTTTTTGTTCCTCCAAGGCCTGCAACTGGGCGCATCTCACAGATTGTCTAATTGCTTCACTAATTTATTTGATGGACCCCTTTCCCCAAAAAAGTCATTACTTTTAATAGTTTTCTATCCAGTAATTAGGAGAAAACTATTATTTTTTAAAAAATCAATCTAATTTTTTAAAAAATTAATCCAGTCATTAAATTGTAAAAATGAGTGATTTATGACTTAAAAAATCTGATTACGGTTGGATCAAGCAAATTTTTTGAATTACAAATTTAAGCATGTGTACTAGCGCAGGTGTTCTAGTTATTATAAACCGTGTGAGAACAATACATGGAGATAAATGTTGTGAGCGAGTCTCGTCCAATCAGCTTGCAATCAGACACGCATATATTTGCACAGTTGATCAAGTTTCAGATTGTCCCCCTTAATTGTCTCACTCTTGTCATTTCTGGTTTTCGAGGGAGGAAGAGACAAAATAGAGGTTCGTTTACCAGTTTATTACGCAGGCGAAAGGAATTGTTTTGCTTCAGCAGGTGAGTATTTTTCTGTCTTTTACTATATTTTGAACATAGCTGCATTAAATGGCTTGCGTGTAACAATTAAGAAAGGGAGAACCCGAATACTCCTGGCCTAGTGGTGACTGGCTAGGTCACAAGTGAGGCGAGTCTCTACTCTTTGAGGGCAGGGGTTCGAATCCTCACTTGTTAAAAAGGGTACCGGGGAGGGCTTTACTTGTCATCCGGCCCGAATTCGGACTAGTCGATCGCTCGGGTATAACTGGCCCAAAGAGGCTGGGGTCCAGAAAAGGCGCGGTTGGATACCGGATGGTTTATACCAAAAAAAAAAACAATTAAGAAAGGGAGAATTACATCTCAGGAAGGAAAAATAATAATAAAAAAAAATCTCAGAAGCTCTTGTTTCTTATTTTAGAACTTGTCATTACAGGCTAATTAAGTTGTTATTAGGACTTTTTAGTAATTATTTTTTTTTGGATCTCATGGTAATTCTCCATTAAAAAACCTTTTTATATTACCGAGAACAATGATACATATAATTAGAGCTTAAAGTCAAACAATTGTATTTACACTACTCATTTTTCTTTATCTAGCTATACGATGACTCAGGTGTTCAACATCGCACGCACCTATATTTTTCTTTAATTAAATAATTTATTGAAGATTTGGGTAGATTTCATTGTCTGGTATATTATTTATAATTTATATATCACTTCTGATACATGCATACAACCTATAAAAGTTTATTAAAATTAGTAGATATCCTTAAAATTAACTATCTTTAAAAAATATTAATTAAATGCAATTATTACGTACTTACAAAATCTTGCCCATCATCTCTACCAATTCCTCTCTTTGTTGTCATGATTACTCAATAATATTCATAATAATAAGAGTATTGTTGAAAAATGCTTCCTTAATATTTTGCAAAATAACTTGCAGGAATATAAAAAGCTCAGGAAATATTACTTTTTTTTTTTTGCCAGCAGAAAAGATGAGTTATACACAGAGAAATAGAAATAGGGAAAATGTCTTTTCTTTCTCGATTGACACCATATGTACCTTCTTTTTTATACATTGTATTTTATTAATTTACACTAACCATGCTAACTATAAGACACTTGTGCATGATTTTTTTTTTCTGCCACCATGAATTGAAGAATGTACCTGCGATCGTAATTGCAAGACTTTATCTCATATCCGCTGGCTATGACTGGGACAGATATTGGCTTAATTAGTGATCTGATTCCAAACTTCGTTACCAACTAGACTTAGAGATAATGAAAAGGGAATAAAAGCTATATCCTAATTATTCACCGCTAGTAAAAAATCCATCTAATCACAGAGTAGATGTTTTTCTTGTTCAACGACTAGGATATACAATTTAACATTTAGATACTAACCTTGGCTTTCCAACAGAAGAGTAAGGTATTAATTAATTAACTGTAAGAACTCCGATGTCCTGGAACTTGATGGTGTGAGACCCCGGCGTATATATGACGACATGAACTATGATGGAACGAGGATGTATATATGGTTGTTCCTGTCTTGGTTTGTTCGTTGGCGAAGAATGCTATGTCATCCAACAGTATGTCTCTTGTTGCACGAGCTCACTTTTTTCGGTTCTGCTAGCTGTTGAAGGGAAAAGGCCAAAAGGAAGTAATTATTTTCGCACTTTCAATCCCTTGAACGCGATAGCTCCTCTCTGCAGGGGATTTGGCATCTCGACAAGAGGAAATAACTTGAGAGAGACTTGAAGGGCTAATTAAGCAACATTGTGAACCTAAATGCTCATAAAGAATCGAAGTTTCAAACTATAATTTGACTCACGGCCAACATCAACAAGAGGAGCATGTCATATGCCTGACACCTATATTTGTGTCGCAAAAGGAATATATTCGAGTTTGTTTATTTTTTGGTCGCTTCCTCTCCTGAGTAATTTACGAGGAAGATGTATTCGATTTTGGTTTCTTTAGTGATCTGTGGCTGTGTTTCTAAAGGCATAGTAGCCCTTGTGACCAAGGAACAGAAGACGATTCATCAACTCTGTATATGTGTTAATAATTATCTGTCCACTTTAAAACAACGTAGTCATGCGTTTTCTGTCAATCTGTCGCTTATTTCTTGTTTGTGCGTGGGGGAGGGGCGGAATGAATAAATATTGTTAAACAGCCAGTACGGGCACACGTCACTCACAACTCGCAGGTAACGTAACGTACGCCTGTGTACACCAATAAAAAAGGTTTTTGTTGTAAAGTATGTTGATCTCTGTGCTGCTCAATGCTGTAAAGTATAGTAATCCTAGAAAGATGAACTTGTGAGAGGTTAAAGTTACTTACAATTAAAATATGATTTTTATATCCCAGTTTTGCTGCTCAATGTGAATTAAATCAACATGTGTTTTAATCAATAATTAATAAGGCCACAGGACAAGGTAATTAAAAAAATGGGCTATTTTATCTCATCTGTACGGGGATTTTATATGCCCTGATATAATCTGTTTTTCATATTCTGCATTGTGAAGCGTCTTGAAAGAGCTGTGGAAAAGATAAAAGGGGGAAGAGATATTTATTATAACAAAGGGAGGCGTGGAAGCCAAAGAGAGGAATTGTCGGGGCATGTACAACACAGAGAGAGAGAGAGAGGCAAGCTCTCGCTGGTAGCGTCGTGTGGGGTAAAGCTATTAAAATGTCAAGCTTACTGAGATCTAACTGCTTAGCTTCATCAAGCTTTTGGGTGATGCACTCGGTGTTGTAAGTAGGGCTACATTTTGTCCTCACTTTCTCCCTTTCCTTCTAGACCATCCCTATTTAACCTTTCTCTCCAATTTCATCATCAGGTGTATCTATCTATCCATCTATCTCTATCTATCTAATCTTTCTATCTTCTATATCTTGAAAGTAAGTAACAGAACCATGGCTCCTCCAGAGATTGCCGTCGCGTCTATGACCCAAAACCCACCAAATCAGCCAAACCCTGACGCCTCTACCTCTTCCTCCTCCATGTGGAATCCTGAAGAAGATGACTCATGGGAGGTCAGAGCTTTTGCAGAAGATACACGAAACATCATGGGCACCACTTGGCCTCCCAGGTCCTACACCTGCACCTTCTGCAGAAGGGAGTTCCGTTCTGCCCAAGCTCTCGGCGGTCACATGAACGTCCACCGCCGCGACCGGGCTCGTCTGCACCAAGTCCACCCCAACTCTTCCTTCACAGTCCCAGCACAAGACCTTGTTCCTAATAATGGATTGCGCCTTCTCTATCGTTTACCCGCAGCCCCTAATAATCCCACCTTTGCCTTCAGTAACACTACTGGTCCTACTCTCACTGATCCGAATGCATGTGCAGAATCACCTTCCACACTGCTCTCCATCTCGCCTTATCCAGCGAACAAGTTGGATTTTTCGGTGCTACGATCTGGCTGTAATATTTCGTCTTACTCTAATCAGTCCAGTGCCAAAGTGGAACTGCCCGCCAACGACTCCTCCAATGTTGGCCACGAAGAGCTTGATCTAGAGCTCCGGTTAGGCCACAGGCCAACACCGACCTGACAAAGCCCAATAAATTTTTGATCGTCGAGTCGCGCGCCTGAGATAATACACGAAGAATGAGACAATTTATTATAAATTGAAATATATTGCTCCTTAATTTGCAGCGTGTGGAGAAGACTTGCTTCTGCCTGCCTCTCGTAGGCTTTTCTAGGTATTTTTTGATTCAATTTCTCATTTTTGTTGGCTGGATGGTTACCATTATTAGGCTGTGATTAATTATATTTGTTTCTTGCGAAAAGGTGCTTGTGGAAGAGATTAAATTTGGAGTAGAAGAAGAAGATGAAAACGGCTGAGGAAAGGAAATGGCACAATGTGTAAATTTTTAGGATTAAAAGAACGAAGAGGTGTGAGAAGTGTTAAGTTTTAAAAAACAATAATAAGAAAAGAAGATTAGGGTTTTGAAGCTAAGGATGGACTGATAATGGTTGCAGTGAGTGTCATTTTCCATTTCAGACGTCTCAGTACACATATATGCAAGTCGGTCTGAATATTCATTTCGGTGAGAGTTATATGCTTTCTAGCAAACCGGTAATTAGGTAAATCATGTGTGTTCACATCCTCTCCTTCAAAGGAATCACAACTCCACCATCTTTCGTTTCGCTTTCTTGCGGTTTATTTTCACTCGAGTATACATTTGCACCGGGCACAAGAGAGAAGAACATTTATGGCAGGCACGGAGAAGAATGAGTCTTTTATTTATTTACCTTTCCGACCGAAGAGCTAGAAAAGAAGGAGAAATTATCATCTAATTCATCATAATCCTTGGAGAACCGTTATTTTATTCATATTATAGGGTGGAGAAATTAACCCTTAATGATCTTATTACCTGTTGATCACTAATTAATATTATATATTAAGGATGTGAGCTATGCTAAGCTCTGGACTGAAATGCGGTTTCATAATTGGGCATGTTCTTGTAATCATACTGTAATTTATCTTTACCCATTTCCACAAACTTTCATCATTTCGCCTTCTGTTTTTGGTTTATAAGAAACAATAGTTTAAATGAATCAGGACTTTTTACTCTAAACCAAACATTTTGAAGTGATTGCCCTAACGTACTTTCATCTGTGATCTGAAACTTCCGACTGATCAGTCCATATACCATCTAATTCCTCTTTGCAACTAATCAACTTTGTAATGAATAATTCTTGAAACTCTGCATGATCGATGGTAGTCACGTAAAACATATACTACCTCCAATTCTTAATATAAAAGTTAGTTGACTAGTTTAAATAGATTAAAAAATTTAATTTAGTTAGTTATTTGTACTAAATATGTGTTTTTTAAAAATATCTTTGCTAGGTCAGAACTATCATTATTACAAAAACTACTATAAAAAAAAAAGTAGATAAATATAAGAGATAAAATAGATTTGAATTTTATATTTAGAACCAAAATAAAAATCAGGTAATGTTTTATATTAAAGATCGGAAGTAGTATCATACAGTACAACATGTATTTGATTTATAGTTCTTGTCCTTGGTTAATCTATGATATATTAATGTTCATGTCGAACTATGCAAGTGTGAGCACGAGAGAAGTTCTACACTAAATAGAACTTAGTTTATTAATAAGTAATTAACATATGATAAAGTGAAAAAAAACTCGTAAACTTGAATATTAAAGTTTTGATTTAAAATGTGATCTACTTTTCTGCTCATTGCCCATTTGAGTTCTCTCTACTTTTTGAGCGAGTCTTGATTGCGAAAGGAAGGGACTTAACATTTGTGGTATCTCAAGTCCCAATAGAAGTTAGCTAGACTCATAAGTAACATATAATAAACCAGTAAACTTAAGCGTAGGGGTTTTGAATTACTCATGTTTTATAAATCAGAAAGAAAAAAGCTTCTTTATCCCATTTATAACCTCATTAAATTTTTTATATGAATATAAAATTTTATTCTTTATTTTTATAAATTATTTTTAAAAAAAGTGTATATATTAATTAAATATGGGTAAAATTGAAAAGTTATTAAATTTTGAAATGGAGTTGACATTAAATCTTTTTTTAATTCCAGTAAAACATGTTGAATAAGATGATTTATAAATAAAATCATATAAGAAAAAGGGAGTATATCCTCCTCTGCTCATCATCCATTTGTTCTCTCTACACAGCGATGCGATGATCCCCATGTTTCTGTATTACACACTAACATTTTAGTTTTAGTATTGTGTGTGTAAATTGATGCTCAAACCGGTCCCCATCTCCAAAAAATTGAAAACAACGTATGTACAGTACTCACAGCAAACACTCAAGTAACTGCTGCTGAAAAGCCAAAATGGAATATTATCTCCTTGCAACATGTGCAATATGTGGAATCCAATACACATATACATGAGCAGGAAATTAATTCAATGGCGGGAGAATATGTAATTTCTTCCCAAATATCTACATTCAATTCAATTTCCATTAATTTTGTCTTTTTCTGTTCTGTTTTTGTTTAGTTTTTCATATGGCAGATATAACATGCAAGAATTTCTCTGTGGTATAGGCTAGCCTAAATAGTGTTGAGGATTCAAGCCTTCATTATAGAGTAACGTACGTTGGGAGGATTGTTTGTATAATAATTTTAGTGTGCATTTTTTACATGGAGATGGCGTATATGTAATTATGTGTATTTTAGTGGGGTGTTTCCGTACAGTATGATGGCGAGGTAATGGTGAGTTTTCAGATATAAGCAGCGGAGAATGCGTAAAGACGACGGGTTTCTTTCTCCGTTGGGCAGCAAAGCAACCAACCAAAACTGCAGTAAGTCGGCTAATGAGTTCTCCTTTTCTTCCACTAGGTAGGCCTGCACATGCAGATCTACTTCCCTTCAAAATTAACCTCTGCCACACATTGGCCCTTTCATTTTTCCATTTACTTCCATTATTTAATTAATCAATTATATTTCTCTCCATCCTTCTTTAACAATATCAGTCCAGCACATAATAAGAACAAAGGCTTTCTGTAGCCTTTCCTTCCTTCTTTTCTATCCCTCCGCTTTCTAAGCTTCATCTTTAGTTAGTTTAATTTACTGATAATTAGTCTGCAATTGCGCGAAGCTTTGGTTCATCATCATGAACACCAAATTATATATATATATATATATAACATAATATGGGGACCAATCCATGGTGCATATGCATGTGTTGCTGCTGCTGCTAGTTATTAATCCTCACTATTTGGTTGCTATCTTTATCTGCAAGATGCAGCAGGAAAACCCACGTTCGTTCGCAGCAATTACTAGTTCCTATTATCTATACGGCCTCTTGTGTGGTCCAAAGTCCAAGTAGCCACATAAGTAGAGTAAATTAAATCAATATTTCGAGGTTTCGTTTTATTCAGTTGATGTTTGTTTCGGTTGGTTGATGATGATGTCATTTTTTTTCCTTATCAACAAACGGCCTGCTGGAACTTGTTCAGGCCCTGCATATACATATGTGTATATATAGGCTCGAATGAGTATAGAACCAGAAATGCAGAAACCACTACCCATGCTGAGGCTAGTTCTCTTGATGATTTCCGGCTTTTTTTTTTTTTGGGTACGCCCGTTCGAGTTTGACCCAAATCAAGCCGAGATTAAGTTAACACACACCAAAATTAAAGGTTAGCTGAAAGAAAGTATTATAGTGAGAGCTAGTTTGATTTTCAGTTTGGTTTTAAATATAAGACTCCAATCCATTTTGTTTTTTATATTTATCTATTTTTTCTAAAGTAATCTTTGCAGTAATTGTACATGTTAAATATTCTATCAATTGGTAGTTGTAGCTAATACATATGATTAGCAAGGATATTCTAGAAAATTCAACTTATATTTGTTACAAATAACTAACTTAATAAACTTCTTAATCTATTCAAATTAGTCAACCAATTCTTATATTAAGAACTACAGGTAGTATTATTTAAGGGGGTAAAAAAACAATCGGAATAGAAAAATAACATGAGCATGCGCCTTGAGGAGTGGCTCCAAAGTAGCAGGGCAAAGGCAGTGTTAAATTTGCCTGTGGCACAAAACGCAGGCACGCTCATGATGTGTCTGTTCGACTGTTCCTATCACTATATATTTTGGACCACAGGACATTTACTATGTCCGACCTCACCAATATCGCAAATCCCAACTCAATGCACTCACCAATATCGTAGCAAATCCCAACTCAATGCACTCACCAATATCGTAGGAGAGCCTGCATATATTTCACACTCGTCTGTTGGGCTTCCCACCATTATTTTCAAATACCACTCTGTCCTTATTATAAGTTACTTGTATCCCAAACCCGTAAACTAAGAAATATATTAAATTAACCAGTTTCTTTTCATATTTACCCTTATGAAAAGTTGAGAGAGAGAGGGAGGGAGGGGATGGATTGTATAGGAAATGAAAAGTTGAGAGAGAGATTAATTAATTTTTTATTAAATTAATAGGGATAAAATTGAAAAAAATCGTTAATTATATTACAGGTGACTTATATTTTGAAATAAATTTTTAGGGTACAAGTGACATATAATAAGAAACAGAGTAGTAAATAATTATTTGTATATAAATTACTACTCTCATACTCAAGCTCCTGCATATTCCAGGAAAATATATTTTTTTAAGGAAAACATATATGTGGGGTTTAAAATATATGTTAATCAATTATTCAAATAAAGATGAGTTAATAACCATGTTAATAAAAAGTAAATAAATGATAAAATAACAATGTGCACCTATTTCACTTTTATCCGGTGTATTGTATTTGATTGATTTCGCAATTCAATTTTCCCCCCTGAAAAACCCAATCCTCTTTGAAAGAGAACTTTCGAATTGACCTGTGAATTTACATCTAGATAGTGCTCCCGATTAAGCAAATTCTCTCTTCCCACCATTAAACCGACCGGTTCAAAGTACAGGACCAACTAAAAATCGTAATCTCTTATAATCAGCGACCACGAAAAGGATGGTTATGTGCATACACATCAGCTTGTGAGGTTATTAGGTAAATCTATTCGTTAAATAACACCCATAACATTCTAATTTGAAATATTAACATGTTTTGTGTGGAAGATGGATTCTATTGTCTTCTCATTACATTTATCATCCCCTCACCTCATTACGTTGTAACTGAAGTATCTTGTATTATAATTTGAGAAGTGAGTGCAAAGAAATTCCGACACTTTCTCGTTCAAAGTATAATTTATAACGTGGATGCACGATACAATTATATTGACGTTAAATTATGAATGTGAAAAATTCTGCAAGACATTCTGGGTAATGCACCAAAAACAAAATGGATTTGTTGATTAGAAATCTTGAATTTATCAGATAGTAGAGGCCGCAGGGCGCAGAGCCCATATATATATAAAGCGTACGGCATGAGTGGAAGAAAAAGGTGAGTTCGATGGTTAGCTGAAAAGAGAAAAACGAAAGACGAATATAAGAGGTAGAGTGATAGAGTTTCTGACAGATATGCATTTCACAGCTACCTGTCAAACAGAACAAAAGGCAAGTTGATGAAGATCTAATCCAATCCAAATATACGAAAAAGTTTAATTGGTGGGCTGAGAAGGCGGGTACGATTAAAGAGAGAAGAGGGACTTAGTGGGTTTGGTCAAACGTGGTAGTTTGAGCAGAGGGAATTAGGGCCTAGGCGTCCGAAATAGAAAGAGTAAAATGAGAGAGCAGTGATTAGGGTTTGGGGAGAGTGCTGTAAGTAAAACCTTTTATCACTGAGGAGTGAGTGGCAGGGAGAGATTCTGTATCTTTGTTACGAATAATGATGTAGGAAGGGTGTCTTGAGTCATGAGTCTGGATCAAGCATATGTATGAGCAGAGCAGAGCGCAGAGGGAGAGAGAGGGTTGTGGTGGAGCCCAGAGGAGGCATGGGAGGACAGGGAAGCCAGCTAAGGGGAGCACACACATTTATATGTAGCCTCTGAGATCTGCATCACTATTCACTACTTCAACTCTCCCCTCTGTGCTCTGTCCTTGGTCCCCTTCCCCCTCCCCTCTCTCTCCTCCTCACAGCCATGAATTCAGTGTCCACATTCGCCTCTCTCTCTCTCTAGCCTCCATTTTCGTTTTCTGCTAACAATAACCCTACACAAACGTACTGCTATACATTAATCGGGAGACAAGCCTCAGCTAGCGGCTATCCTCCACTCTCTCTCTCTCTCTCTATATATATATTCATTATGATATGTGTCTATAATATGGGCCTGCGTCCTTGTTTTATTAGGGTAACCTGACAGGGCTGAGTAATATATGGACACAATGGAGAGACCAAGATTCGGACAGTTGAGGGGTTAGAGAGTGAGGGGCCGGTATGGCAATGGCATGACGGGATTGAGGTATAGTCAAGGTCACTCGTCTTATCTCCCCCAGTCACCAATCACTAATCATTACCCCTTTTCTCTTATCTCTTTATCTCATACTTTTGCTAGTAACAGCACCCCCCTCCCTCTTGTTTCCTTTTTTTTTCCCCCTTGGGGACCAATTGTCATCTTTTGTACTCAAACCTTTAATTTTTCTATCAAACCGTTGATCTAATTAAAGTTGTCATGCCTAGAACGCCATTGTTGCCAGCCAGTTCCCCGGCGTCCATCATATGCTCTTTGGGCTGGGTTTGTAAGCCTGATGGGCTTTGCCATGGAAGGCCCATGTCCGCCCAGGACAGCACGTACACGTTCACATTCACGTAATGTAGTAACAGAGGCTGGGCGTTATTAAATTGCTGGCTGACCCGAAAGAAAGACGAAGGTAACTAAAGATGCTCGTGACTTCAGGCAGGGAAATGAGATGAAAATGATGCGATATATAGAATGATAGCTTCGTTCCCAGTGCTTGGAGGAATAAGATGATTCTCACCCTCCCCACTCGCATATGATGGCTTTTCCTCCAAGCAACCTGTGCGCACCGATCTTCGCCATGTCTTGTTATCTCTTGTATTAAGCTATCCCAAAGGAATCCAAGAACTGGATTATTCCCACTGAACCAAGTTTAGCGGTTCCGTGGAAATAAATATTATTATTAGATGACATGAGCAAGGGAGATGATTTACACTAAGTTTTAAGAGAAAAGCCAGCTTGAATAAAAAATGCAGTCAAGTACTATAGCTTAGTTTCCAACACTAGGAGGAATAAAGTGAGACTCCAATGCGATAAGATGGACTTCGTTTCTTCCAAAGTGCATTATTCTTGCTGCTAATCACCCTAAAGTAGCCTGATGCCATTACCCTCTTTCCTCTTACCGACACGATCGAAGTTATTCGCCCCAAAAGAATCCAGTAACTGGACGGTTAACCTCTTTTCCCGTTTTCCCATCAAACGACGTTTTACTGTTTCCAGGAGAACAGAATTAAAGAGTATTATCCCCCCATATATGTCTTTTTAGAAATATTATACATACATATATTTATCCAATTGGTAAATGCCTTTTCCTGCGGCCCTTTGTTTGAGTGTTCATGTGGGGGGAGAAATCATCCATACATCTATATATTATACAAAATTGATACGGTTATCCATAATCTATAAACAAATCATGCGTACATATATTTTCAAGAAAATATAGTCTTTTATCTGAAGAAAATAATATAAAGAGTAGCATACGTAAATGTCGCAGTCGCTGTAGGCTTTGGTGGATCATTATGCGAAGGGAGAGGACAACTGAGACCATACCTCATTATCAAAACGACACCATTTTGCTAGTAGCGACGGCGCAGAGGACGGAAATCGAAGTGGAAAATAGGATCGCTGGTCAAATGACCCCAAGGAAACCAAAATCTTTTATCAGTAAGTGAGGCCGGGAGAGTAGCGAGTGCCAAACACAGTCCAGTAGATTCGCTGTATCCCGTATTGATCGGCGTTCTGTTTATATATTAGCCTGCTCAATCAGTAGCCAAGGATTTATCTGTGTTTTCTGCTGATAGTGACTATCTGTCTGGTTACCATGGCGTCCGGGTCAATCGTGAAAGCAAAATTAGGGGACCTGAGCAGGGATTCGTTCGTGCCCCTTCTGACAAAGCTAATAGGGGAATCCAAATTCGTGCAGAACAACCCACCAGAACTCATCCCAGAAGAAGACAGAGTGGTCAAACACGTCTTGGATGTTCTTCTTCCTTTGAGCACCAAAACAGGCGGCGGACCCCTGCTCATCAATCACGTTACTTATTCCCCGGCAGAGGCAACCTTATTATCGAGTACCCTGGAACTGAACCCGGCAAAATTCTCTCTTTCGTGGGATGCCACATGGACGTCGTCACTGCTAATTCCAACGAATGGGTATCTCCCTTGACTTCTTCTCTTGACTTCGTGTCCAGTTTTGAATTGCCGGTCCCTGCATCAGAAGCCCCGTCGCTTTTTTAATAATGTATGAAACACAATCTATCACAGTTTTGCAATGCAGGAAATGCCTTAAATTAGCCTCAAATCTTGATTTTTTGCGAATTTCAGAATAATTCGGTTGGGTTTTCTGTTGTGTCTATCGTCATTGTTATTGTTCCCTGTCATATCGATTTCGTTGTTTCGTCCTACGATTGCCTTCATAAGAAACTCGCTGAATGTCTCCACATTCAAAATTTAAGATCTCGTGGGTCATTTATGCTTACTCGAAATTATGTACCATTTCACAAGTTTAGTTCTATGCAGCAGCACAAAAGGAAAAAAGACAGTATATATATTTGGCAATACACAGGATTTCAATCTCCGTGACTGAACATGTCGACTGCAGGATTTTGATCCATTCACACTGAGTATCGATGGGGATAAACTTCGGGGTCGTGGAACTACTGATTGCTTGGGACATGTTGCCCTTGTGACTGAACTGATGAGGAAGCTTGGGCAAGAAAAGCCAAATTTGAAATCAACCGTTGTTGCTGTATTTATTGCCAATGAAGAGAATTCTGCCATATCTGGGGTTGGTATAGATGCACTTGTGAAAGACGGCCTTCTTAACAAATTGAAAGAAGGACCTCTGTAAGTGCTTATTGTCTCGTGTATGTGCATATATAACTCAATAAGAAACCTTGAGATGTTCTGAGTTTACTGAACCCCCTTTTGTTAGTTACTTAAAGTTCCAATTCCAACAATATTATATTTACCAGTTTAATTTCGTGGGCTTCACGCTCAGGTTTTGGATTGACACAGCAGATAAACAACCTTGCATAGGCACTGGAGGTATGATACCGTGGAAACTTCATGTCACGGGAAAACTCTTTCACAGTGGATTGGCTCATAAGGTAGGCTATTGCATTCTTGTCTAGGTTCATGTTCTTTATCTGCCGAGTTTAAACAATATAGCTTACGTTCAATTATACTTTATATTTTAGCGCATGGTAATTTTTTTCCATGATAAAGTCAAAATTACTGATTTTTGTTCGAGGTTTTTATAGAATTATAAGCACGTTGATATTGAGAGATGCCCTTCCCCCCTCCTCCCTCCAAATTCTTCAATGAAAAATCAATACATAGTAATGATTATTTTTATCTCATTGATCCTCATATATAAGTAGATTTATTAAAATTTGCCATTCCGTAAACATTGGATGGGTACGTGAACCCAATATGACAGTGGCACCTATAAGTGGCATGAAGTTGTTAAATCTGCATGGCAAGCAGACTTAGATGAAGAGAATTTTGATTCTTTTTTGGCAAATTTCACTTGATTAACTTAAAGCACCTGTCTATTGCTGCCCATAGAATTTGGTAGTCATGATTTTATTTTTTGGGGTCATGATAGAATTTGTGTGTTTGGATCCTAGATTGATTTATCACTCAGGGAGAAAGACACAACATGATTAGGCTTCATCTTGAGCTTGATTTTGTCAAACAAATTCAGTTTGTTGAAGTAGGGGTTGATATTGTTCATAGCAATTCCAATATAAGGAAAACCTTCCTTTTAAATACTATGATCACCAGAAGGATCGACTTAAAGACTTATGAGGTCAATGTATCATCTATGCTGTTTGAAAGAGCTAATAAAGTTCTACTTACCATCAAAGCAACTTATTCAGTCTAATTGTCAAGAAATAGTACAGGCTGATTCAATGGCTATCTTGACAAGTTGAAATCAAAATAAATTTTAATATTTTATGGTTCCCTTTCACTTTTCCATTTTGTCAAGGGGTGTTTGATTTCTCCCAAATGTACTTTTTAAAAGTACTTTCACGCAAGTGGAGATAAAACATCTCTTAATTACTTATTTCGTATATCATAAAATTACTTTTAAAATCATAGTTTAGTTTCCACCCAAACATCCCCGAGAATGTTGTACCACTCAACTTATTAAGACTTTATTGTTTATGTGGAGGCCATAAATCCATTGGAGCTAGCAATGGAAGCACTAAAGGAGATCCAGTCGCGATTTTACAGAGACTTCCCACCACATCCTCAGGAACAGGTCTATGGATTTGCAACTCCTTCAACCATGAAACCAACCCAGTGGAGTTGTAAGTTGTGAGCCCCATGCAACTAGTATAATACATTTTCCATGCTTAATAAAAGCCGGCAATATTCATAATCATATTTGCTATTGCAGATCCTGGAGGTGGAATCAATCAAATTCCAGGTGAATGTACCATTTCAGGAGATGTCAGGTTTGTTCTTCCCCCTTGGGTTTACATAACTCATTTGGTTAGGAATAATGTCACATGACAGATATTTTTTTGTTGGTTCTGTAGGTTAACTCCATTCTACAAGTAAGAAGCGTGCTACCTTGTGGCTAAGCTAACTGTCATCTAGAACCCCTGGTTTCCATTCATTGCTATTTTCTGACTTCAACCCGTGCACTGCACAAGTATCTGTCTAGTTATTTTCTGAATTTTCATATTCAATCCTCTGATACTGGTTTCAGTGTGAAGGATGTGATGAATAAGCTACAAGAATATGTGGATGATATTAATGACAATATAGAGAAGCTAGAAACGCGGGGTCCAGTTTCAAAATATGTGGTTGCAGAGGAAAACTTGAGGGGAAGGTGAGACACTGGGTACACTCCATCATTTACCGAAGGAATCTGCTCAGCTTAGATCTTTGTTATACTTCTAATTTACAATCTCTTTCTATGATAGTATACGGTCCCTTGATTATTAACGGGTCACTTGATCTGGTTATGAATTGTTTAAACTTCCAAAGAATATTGGTAAAGAATAAGATTTCCTTGCCCCCTTTTACAGCCTAACTCTGACTTTTGACGATGCTATGTCTGGAGTTGCTTGCAATCTTGATTCCAGAGGTTTTCGTGTATTATGTAAAGCTACTGAGGAAGTAGTTGGGCACGTAAAGCCTTATTCAATTACTGGGAGTTTGCCACTAATTCGAGAATTGCAGGTAAAGGGAAAAAACATTTTTTGGTTTATTTTCCATGCAAAGCTGTTCGCTTTCTTGCATCCTTTACTTATCCCCTATTCTTTGTCTGTACAGGAAGAAGGTTTCGATGTGCAAACTGCTGGCTACGGTATGATAATTTAACGAAGACGGAAATTAAAGTTTTTCTGTCCATTTGAATTTCATGCTTATTGAATATGAAAAAAATTAGAGTTGCCGTAAGATTTTATCAGGTGCTTTTGAAAATGGGTGCAGGTCTAATGGCAACATATCATGCCAAGAATGAGTACTGTCTCTTTGAAGATATGTTGCAGGGCTATCGGGTGTTTGTGAGCATCATTGCTCAGTTGGAAGATTGAGAATTCTGGCGGAATCCCTAATAACTGTTGCAAACTTGTTCTATTACTTATATTGTTATTGGTGTGGTCCTGAGGGTCTGTGTGTGAGCGTGGAAGGTAGATTTTTAGCCGGCCAATTAAAAAAAACAAAAAAAGAATTTGAATTGACTGACCTTCCTGCGATTTTCTCTGCCCTTCTTGTCCCTTACAAGTTAAGGTGGAGAACGTTCTGATTACTTAAATGTCACTCAGATGAGTATTATTTTCCTACTATTAACTAGCTGTTTTGGAAAACACTATAACTACCTTTTTTTTTTTTTGGGAGTATATGACTCAAAGTATCTCAAAGGATTTTAAACTTGAAATTAATCTCTATCCGGTTTAAAGCGTTAGGGTTAAGCTCTCCTAGTAAATACGTTTTTTGGAATTTGAATTTATGTTTTTCTCTCTACGAGATAAAACTACTTATCATCTAATTAATAGTTTGTTAATAACACTATAAATAGTTTTAAAATATTTTTTACGCAAGTCAAAATAAAATTTTTTCACAATTTATTTTATGCACTATAAAATAACTTTTGAAAAGCAAATCCAAATTTCTTCATAATTGTTATACATCTTCAAAATTTACGTGCAGAGCCAAGCACTTGTCTTATATTTGGAGTCTGATATGTTAAGATTGGTTCGGAGAATTAGGCAAAAAGTAACAAGTGCACCAGCAAATTTTTCCTCTCCGCATTTTCTATTTTTCTTAACATTTTTCTGCCATCCTTCTTTTACTCACCACGTACCATAATCTTCCTTGAATTAACTTGAACTGCTATAATTAATTAATAATTACATCAATCATACCAATGTCTCTATATGATTAACGACTCTTATACATTATGTACAAATTTTTAGCCAAATAGATGTCACTTCAAAATTCAATTACACTTGATTATCAAAATTTGCTCATACTTTCTCTCTTTCTTCCAATTGGAGCTGTTGAAGTCTTTGACGCAGTCGACGTCGGTGGTGATGGATCTTCATGAGGCCATGTCCCAATATAACGGTAGAGTATATACCGTGTGTTATAATGGGCGCAAGAATATTATTTGTCTGTCACGGTTGGCAGTAAAAATAAAAAGCCACATCAGTTTCATCCTTTGGAAACTCGAATACGCAAGGACTAAGGTTGTTACGTGGTTTATGGATTACCTGGACCCATTCCAAACCCAAGTAGAGGGCCAAGAGTCCTTCCAGAAGTGGGGAATAGATCTTCCTCATTTGTCTTTTCTCGTACCAAGCTGCAACGCCACAGACACGTCATTATAAATCCCTCCTGTGCCAACTACGAGTCAATCGTAAAGATAAAAGGACCAAATTTAACTTTTTCAGCCAAGAGTAGGCCAGAATTGAACCTTCAAAAAGCTTTTTCAAGTCCTGACGGTTGGAGCGGGGTTGTAAAACTGGAGAAACAATGTAATGGGGATCTACAAGAAAGATAGTGAACAGAAAAGAGAGAAAAACCTTAGTGGAAACAATTACTCGACAAGGTCGAGGCAAAGGTACAAAACTACAAACAAATTTGAAGAAAAGGGAAAAATGTTGTGAAGGCTTGAAAAATGAACCTTTGGGAGAGGCGGCCATGAAATAGAGGGAACCGGTGAGTACGGCAGTAAGTACAGCAGCATATGCCTGAGCAAATGGAACAAATGCTGGTAGCATTCCTGTCTGTATTTTGCAAATAAATCTCCAGTTAATCACTGGGAGGGGGGACATGTGGCTTCAAATATTAATAATTTAAGCAGTGACAAAGAAATTATCAAAAAAAAAAAATAGAGAGGCAGGGAGACACATACCAGAGATGCCATTCCTCGAGCACCAGCCATGAGATTACTGCCTCGTAGAAATATATCAGCCAATGCTCCCTGAGGATTATATTTTCAAGTTGAGATATAGCATTTCAGAGGAAAATACTATTATTATTAGCCCCTGCTTTGAACTCTCTTGCTGGTAATATTCTGAACAGGTTGGGAGCCAAACTAAAATGCAAGTTTTTCATCAATTTTGAGATACAGAATTGCAGAGAACAAGCAGAAACTAAGTTCTCTCTTTTGAATAGCTGCTTTTAAAAAAAGAAGGAAGATAAGCAGTGGCTCCCAATGTCAGATTTTTTTAAAGCACGTTAATGGTTGATCATGTGAAATCTCATCAATCGGAATAGGCAAGTGTTAAGATCACAATTTCAGAAAACCAGCCAAAAAAAAAAAAAAAGGAACAGCGGCATGACTGATGATTATGTAGACTTCTAAACTATTTAGAGTCTTGTTCTATTATTCTCCCAAGCAAAATCCACTTAAACTTGGTGAACTGTACAACGTCTTGTTCTATTATTCTCCCAAGCAAAATCCACTTGAACTTGGCGAACTGTCCAACATACTTTTAACAACCATAATTTCCCCCTATTTTAGACAGTATGTGATATCATTCATCTTGTTGTGAATTAACACATGATCTAGATTACACATGGCTCATATCCAAAACCTATGATTTTAATTTTTAGTTTATGCTTAAAAATGTTTCTTTGAGAAGATATGATACAAGGCAAAGGAGCTCCTGAACAAACCTGAACAGCAGCCCTGTAGAAGAGCTCCTCTCCCACTGAACTTGCAGCAACCATCAATATAAACTACAAAGTACAGTGATCTAAGCTGACTTTGATCATTGCATAAGAATGAAGAGTTATTCCAAATCACACAAGTTTCAGAAAATCACCTGCCAAGGGGACATCCCATAAAAAAAATTCCAGAGTTCCTCATCCTCCACATCTCTGATGGCTTGGGCATGGGGTGAAAGCTTCACAACTTCATCCTATAACTAACTATTGTCAGTTAATTAATTCATACACTTGTTATATCTAACAGAACAGACAGGCTGAACAGAACAGAGGCAAGCCATAGGCTTCCCACTTTTAATGAGGATGTCCACTACATGCCACTATCATCTCAAGGAACAACAAAAATATCATTTGACAAGCATACGACGCATCTCCAGTCAGCCCAGAAAAGGGTAGATCAAATCAAATAAGATAGAAAAACACAAGCTTGCTGTAAAAAACTGCACTTACATCAAGTATAAACAGAAGAGCCATGATTGGTGGCACAGCATAACCGAGCCCTTGCAAAATGCAATCTGAAGACAGATGAAAGCCCCCCATAGCGTCAATACCAGTGATCGAGCATATAAATCCTCCAGCCACAGCCATGGCACCGTATATCCCTAACATGAGTAAACTCCCCGAACATCAATCAAGTAAACTCTGAATAGGAAAATAGAGTGAAGGAGGTAGGAGCTTGAAAGGAAAAACTAAAGCATATATGGTATAAAGGCGTGAACTAGATAAAGTCACATCATTCCTAAAGAAAACACGATTATTTCCTTTACTGTACAATACAATCTTTATCCTGGACTTCCCCAAAAAACTAGTTTGGCAAAATTTCCCGGTTCGGCATAAGTAATGAACCAAAAAGGCACGCTTTCTAATTCTGAGTCATCAACAAGGAGCTACAGCAACATCCGAAGTAACTCACCGATGCCATAGGTGAGCCTGACAAGAGCACCAATCTTATCCCAAACGGGTAAGTCAGCATCCTTAATAGCGGGATTGACTGAGGAAACCTCCACAGAGGGGTTGGCAAAGGGAGGCGGGGTCTCTACGGGGTGGATCCTCTCAGAGGTGGTGGGCTCAGCAGAAGCCTTGATGGATCGGACGGTGAGTAAGGGTCCTCCATGAATAGCCTTGGTCTTGAGCTTGGGTTGAAAATAGCAAAGATTGGAGCAGTGATAACAGAGAAGAGGTGAAGACGATGAAGTTGGAGGGCTGTGGGTGAGGGTGAGAGGGAGCTCCATAACCCGAAGAGGAGTCCCTTTGAAGGCAATGGCAAATGGAGGACCGATTGAGCACATGACACTACCTTGCCGGATCAAATCAAAGCCAACATCATACCTTGGTTTCCTTCCTCCCCTATTAGTCACCTTGGCTCTTTCTTCAGTTTGGATTTGGATAGCCTCCTTTTTGTTTTTTTTTTCGGTCAATTAAAAATCGAGTAAATTTTGAAATCTTATTTGAATGTGTGAGGAGTACGTGTTTTAAGGAACTTTTCTTAAAAGCTAGATTTTATTTCACTTGGCCCCAAAAAAAGTATTCCTCCATGTTAAATATTACTATTTACTATCCCCTGTCTTATTTATAAGATTTTATTTGTAAATTATAAATAAGATCTTATAATTAGGATCAGTGATAATAGATTATAAAATGGATATTAAATTTTGAATCGGAAGAGTAATAATCCTATGGCTTGTTTTTTTTGGATTTTTCCATCCGGTATCCCAGGACAATAGGCATCTTTCAGCCATGACAGCGGCCCCAAACTAATCCGGATCGAAGGCTTACAAGGAACCTTTCGGTCGGCGCCCTCTGGCCCCTAAGGGTGCTGCATTCCCACGGCTCGAACTCGAGACTCGTGGTTAAGCTAGGACAGCTCCAGCCAGCTGACCTAACCCCTCGGGGTTATAATCCTATGGCTTGTTTTAAATAAACATTGATTATGATTGTCAAGTCGGGGGACGTGCAATCTCAGTGCGCATAGTTTTGTTGGCATGCCATCTATGAGGCGTGGGAGTGTAACCCACCTTATATTTCATGTTATCAATATTTCCTCAACTTACAGGTATGAAAAATGAGAAAAAAGAATGAGGGATTTGGAATAAATAATTTGATTGAAAAAATCTTAAAAATTACTCATCTGATCTTAAATATAAAACCTTTATACACACTAGTATAAAGATCTTATATTTAAGATAGGAAAAGTATAACCATTTAAAAAGTAAGTACTAAAACATAAAATTAAGAGTGCTATAACACTACTTGGAGCCAAAATCTTGTCGGCTCAGTGGCATTGCCCTTCACCTAAAAGTGACGACTAATAGCAAGCCCAGTTTGATTCCACCACTCTCCTGCCGGGTGTTACCTTGCCATCCAAATAAATAAATAAATAAATAAAATATATTTTGAACGTTGTTGTGGCTTCGACCATATCCTTTCAAGTCAGAGCAGTCAACTCGTGACTCGTGAGTCGCGAGGATGTTAGTGAAACCAATCCTGCTCATTTTCTATAAATTTCTCTATATTATATGCTAATAGATTGATTTTGTTTCTCTATAGATATCTCTGATTCCTTGGCTTGTTCCACCCAAGAAATTATTTTTATCTTATCTTTTAACATCAAGAAAATGAATAAGATGCGCGCGTACATGTGTTTATATTTTTCTTATCTGTCAAATATATTAGCGGATGGATAGAATGGTTAAGGAACTTAGGCTGGATAAAACATGGCTCGAGGTTTATATGTGAACATTTAAGCAGATGAGTAGGGCAAAGGGCCAAAACCAGAACATATAAAGTTCATAAATTAGAATCATGACGAAGGCCTTACACCTGCTTCTGCTTAATTGGTGTTTGGTTTTTAAAGGATCTAAAAATTAAACATGAAGTTTATCTATATCTATCTGCATATATTCACCCAATTCTTGAAGAATGAATGATCCATCCCTTGCATAATTAAGACGGAAGTGTTACATCATAACCCTGATAATTGGTCCGGCCAGCCAGAATCTCCTCTACGAGCGAGTAGGCTTCGAGCCAATGCATCGCTGCATTTTCTTTAACGTACAGGTGATAGCTGCCAGCTCCAAATGGTAATTTCAGTATTGTGGATTTCATTACGTGCACGATGCAGCAGGTAAAAACACACATGAATATTTCCTTACATCTATCTCTCGCAATCGCATGATTTTCAAGTAGCCCTCGGGTTTACTCGTGCAAGTTTCAATTTCATCAGCAATTTGTATGTGCATGTTGGTGAACAGGCCAATGCATTGTCCCCATAAAACTGTTCCTGAGTCAGTCTGCATCGACTCGACGCACTTGTGCCCATGCATCCATTAATGCCAACTGAGAGGAAAAAGTAAACAGAATCAGAGCTCGTTATGTGTGGTATTGGATCATAATACTATCGGGCTCAGCTTGAGATAATTAGTCATTTTGTTGTGGTTCTGAGTGTATATATATGTATATATAGTTATATATAAATAGTCTTTCTGTATATATTTGCTGTAGGCCCAGTCATTCAAATGATAAAAGTTTTTTTTTTTTGTCTGACTTCGACTAAGGGGTGTTTAGATAGAAACCAAACCATGGTTTCAGAAGTGCTTTTACGAATTACGAAGTAAATATGTGAGGAGGTTATCTCGTTTTGCGGAAAAGTGATTCTGAAACCTTAATTTTGATTTTGCCAAACACCCCCTAAAATGTCTTGATCCCCCGTGTCAAAGTATATTTACTTGTTTGACACGGGGGTGGATTGCTTCCTCAGGTTACGATATTAAATAAGTCGTCAATAATTAAACTGTGGAATGGAAAGCTTGTGGTTGTGGTGGGTTGGTTGTTATATGTGGAAAAGAAAGCAGAGGACGGCACGTTTATGAGGGTTCCAAAACTCGCACGCTTGGCTTGGATGGCACTTGGGAGGGGCCCACAAAATCTGCTGCGTGCGGCTCGCTGGACATGTTTGGTTCAATGGAGGGGGTTTTTAAGGTGACCGGAAACGAGAGGAGGTTATTTTAAGTATTATTTGGTCGGAGGGAAAAAGAAGAAAGGAAATGTTTCTTATTTGATTCAGAAAAGGGGAGAAAAAGAACTAATTTTAAGTTCATAAATATGTCTTTATTTCTTTATTATTTTATTTCTATATTTATATCAAAATTATTATTTTCTAATTCATAAATATAAAAAACAAGTTATCTCATATGTATAAAAATATTTACATATCACAAAAAATATATACTTATCATATTATATTAAGAAAAATACTACAATCATTATAAAAATATTATATCGTATTATCAAATATCATTTAAAAGAGTCTTTACTAAAAAAGATAAACTTAAAATTTAAAAAGAAAAGCAGCTAAAAGAGTTAAAAAAATGTTTTTATTACAAAAGATAAACTTGAAATATTTAAAAACTAATATGAATAATTTAGTCAAAAATAAAATATAATAATTTTTTTTGCAAGAAGCTCTAAATTAAAAAAAAAAAAAAGGGCATTAAACGACAAAATCCCTTCTCATTTTTTCGAACCAAACAGAATTTCTTATTTTCTTCCTCCCTCTCCTTCCACAACCTTCCAACCAAACGTACGTAGAAGAGCTGGCCCTTCCCGCACGCGACACCATCCAAGGATACATGAAGAATAAAATACGGAGGAGAGCCACGTCAGAAAAAATCTGCAGGCTTTGAGTCAAGAAGTAATCCGAGTCCGAAAATAAAATAATGAGTAGGCTCTAACTGGCAGTGACGACGAAAAGCTTTTAACTCTCAAATACACAGACGCTGCTCTGGAGAAGGCAAGTATGGTCCTTGGACTCATTCCCTGGTCGTTGTGGGCTGTGCACACTATATGACTAAGTAAAGCTTCTGCTTTCCGCTCCTCTGCCATGTGCACCGCTCCGTTGGTTCATGGGTCGACATCGGGGGAGGCAATGGGGAAGGTAAATTTAAGGACTTTGGAACAGCTCTGTGATGGTGGTGAGGCAGAGTCGGTATTAATACAGGCACGTACTCTCTGTATTCCTTCTGTTTCCTCTTTTTGATCCCCATTTTAGTCTATACATCTATGGTGGTTCCGGCTTCTATCTTTTGATTTCTCTAGTTTTATGTAGTTTGATCGTTCTTCTATAATTCAGTTTTGTTGCTTCCGTCGGAATCTGTGGTCTTGTTCTTGTTTTCACTGGCTGACTATTGTTGGGATTTTACAAAAGGCATCTTTGCGATTTTCTGTTTATTTTTTTACCCTGAGGTTCGTGCACGTTGTTATTTGCTCTGGTCCGTGCTTCCGAAAATTTCTTCGGATACGCATTCGTTCGAGAAAATTTATTGCATTTTTTAGGTGTCAGGTTAGAATTGTCATTTTCCCGCTTTTTTTTCCCCAGTAACAGGGTGATAAAGTTGAAGGGCATTGCTGCGTATCCTCAGTCATCAGATAGTGGCTGAGGAGGGTGAATCGGTGAAGCAGAGAAACTAACAGTAGGGCTTATCTTTATTACTGCATTCCTGAAGTTTGAGCGTGCTGCTTGCATCACATCGATTCCCCAGCCTTGCTATCCTGATTAGGAAAAAAAAAAAACTTTAACGTTGAAAATAGCGATTCAATAATTGTAGATCCACATGTTCATTCTTTAAGGATTCATAACTTCTTATCTTTTGTGTGGATCGATTGTTTGCGTTGATGATTAAGATCCACAAATATGTAAGAGATTGATGGCATATTTACCCAACAAATGCATGCCCCTGAACTTAGAAGTAAAATGGATCTATTACATAGAAGAAGACAAAAAGGATGAGAGGGCTTAAAAATTAAAATGCAGTGAAAAAAGACTCTGTCACACATTTAGAGTTACTTGGATGAAGTCTGAGTTATATATAGCATGCTCATATAGCTGAAAACGTGAGAAATTCTACATCTTCTTGTATTGTTAATCATTCATTCAGGACAGCTAAATCTTCTTTAATTGCAAACAACACAATTGCTACTCATTTATCTGCAGATTACTGTTTGACATAGAAGCACACTATATGCCACACGAATTTATGGTTTATATCAGTGTTTCTGATAAATTACCACAACAACTTGATACTTGATGCTGAATTGTAGTATTTTCTTAGGTCAAAAAGAAACCAAAAGATGGTTTGCATCGCCTAAAATATTGAAAAGCAAGATGAATCTTCATCCTTTAGTATCGTTAGTGAAAACCAAGTGAGTTATTGTAGCATGTTTGATGCAATTACAAATAATACATTTTTTTTTCCTAAAGAAAAAATAAAATTAAGTAGTCCATTTCTTCTAATGGGATGATTATACCACCAAGTCACTTTGGAGCACTGATCATTTTGAATTTGTCAAGGCAATTGTGTTGTCTTATTTTGAGGGAATAAGTTTTGGTTGGGGGGCATTGAGAAAGGGAATCCTTTCAATTACCTTAGTTTAGTCCCGGAAAATTAATAACAAAGGGCATTGAATTCTATTACATATTTGGTAATTGTTTTTAGATGCCTTTTCAAGTGGATTGTGTCATATATATATATATATATATATATATGTATTTCTTCAAAACTCTAAGTGAATATGCCAAAATAGATATTGACTGAGTCTACTATGTAGAAGCATCTGACAAGCATTTGGTTTGAAATTTGGAATACATTTATAATTTGTATTTTCACCCTCTGTTTATCTTTTATCTTAGTTTTTTGAGATAAATAATTGTGATAGCATATCCCTCTCCTAATACCTGTTCTACTGTTTTCAATATTTTTAACATTGGATCTTCAAGATGAAGCATCTATAATCAAACATCAAGATTTTTTATTTTATGTATTCTAACTATAGTGTGCTGGAGGAATTTCCGATAATTGTTGAGTGTCAGCATTTTTATGTAGCATTGTTGATTACATTGCACTATTGAAGTTATATCTTGATTCAATACCGAGTGCTACATCAATGATGTCATTTGTCACAAAACATGACTCATATGAAAAATTCAATCTTTTGTCTTGTCAGTTGAGTTTTGATCAATCTCTTAGCTTTTATGTTCTATTTGATTTTTTTTAATTTATTTTCACTATTGTTAGGATATTGGCATTCCTAAGATTTCACTTTTGGCTCTTTGAATATTACTATGTCATTTTGGATAATTTTCCTAATATATTATTATCTTGATTAATTACCATGCTGTTGCTTTCTCTCTTTTCAGCCTTATAATTTTCAAATGGAAGAGAAATCCCAAAAATGCAATCTGTGTGCCACACGGTGTTCATCATACATGCATTTTGAACGAGTGGGAGCGATAATGGGCATGAGGACTCGCAACTTTACCAATAAAGCCTCTCAAGAGGAGAAACCTAATCAGAAATCTCCCAATGATGGCATTTTGCTCCCTCGTTCATTGAATTGTGCACGCGAGTGTGGGAGGCATATAAGCAGTGAGGCGAGTAACATCTTTAGTGTCTCTAGTCACGAATCAATCTCTGAAATTGCCGAAAGTCAAGCCACTGTTGGGGTTTCTGATCCTTGTGAAGATAGCAGAAAATCCCTATCAGTTGGAGAATCTAGTGACACTCCCCATGGATCGATCAAATTTGATAATGATATATTCTCAAATCACGTTGAGAAGCATAAAGGGTTTGATATCCTGGTCAATAATGTCTCATGCATCAGAGGATCAGACAGCACATATTTGACAATAGGTAATTTTTGAAGATCATGCTTAAGAGTGTGTCTCACAATTCAACATCAGTTGGTTACTTTTATCTAGTTGAGGAGGATGTGAATGATAGACTGTTTTTCTTTTTTTTTTTTTTTTGGCCTCTTTGTAGATGAGAATGAAAATCACGACGATATTCAAAACTTCATTCAACATCCTCCACTGAAAGGAGTAGTTTATCCGAGTTTCTTTACTCGTGCTATCCCACAAAAGGTGCACAACTCATAAATCTATTGTAATTGTGAGGTATATATATTTTTTTGAAATATATGAAGTTTGATGTTGATTCCAATTATTGAATTTCAGGGAGAGTGTTTTGAGTGCTTAGGTGAACAAGAGGGGTCAACACCAGCAAGAGTAGCCATATCTGGGTTTAATGGCCAGATTGATGGTGTTTACAGTTACTGTACATTTTGGAAAGACCATCTTCATTTGAATACTGAAGATTCAGATATTGAAACAGAACTTCATTTATACTTCAAGAAGCATTTCGAGAAGTGTCCTGCTGTGATTGAAAACACCAGTATGAAAGGGCAATGTCAGCCTGAGGACATCATGGATTCATCAAACTTAACGGAGGAAGAGGTATGTGATATTGCCTTCTCAACACTAAGAGTTATTTTGTGTCTCAAAATCCAAAAAATGCACCTATCCATGCTGTTCACGCTGAATGTAAGGATTGTGATGGAAACTTTGTAGTATGGGATACCAGGTCCTACATTAAGTATAATGGGATGCTTAATGGAATATTTAAGCAGGTTGGTTCTCCCACATCAATAGCTAGTTTTGGGGTAGGGTTCCCCATCCCAATTAGGTGCCTATCAATGCCAAAATGGTAGAACCTGAACATAAATACTGGATCAAATCACAATAATCACACTTTGTGAGCTGTTTATCCTTCCTCTTGTTATTAGTCCCTCCAACGCTAAGCCCTTCTCTACTTGAGTTGGATTGTGTGCTTTTAGGAGATTTCCCTCCTGTTTCAAATCACCTTGCTTAGCTTCAGCCTTGAACTCTTGAATATTGCTGTTAAGCGCTTCTTGCATCCTCTTGGCTCTAGTAATTGGTTCTTGCAAACTGTGCAACATGCCAGACTTGTGACCTTGATTTACATCACCATGATTATATATGACAGAAAGGAAAATGGTATAACCCAATAAATCTTTGTTGAGAACCGAGTTCAAGAGGGTTGGAAGTCAGTTTCAAAGAATCAACTAAGATACAAATCATAGCCCAAAGTCCTAAACTCCATTATTTAGAACAGTATAATCTATTCAATATTTGAATCCGATGTTGGTAGATTCTAAATAGCATAAATCTCATTTCGCCCATAGCTTCATCAAAGCGGCTAAATAACCCTGAATTGGTCAATGAAAAGAAGCTTAATCATTTGCAATCTCTCAAACCATGTGATGTCTTTCATCAATGATCTTCTTTATGTTAATTGCATAATAAGAAATAAGTTTACTTGGAATCAGTTAAATTTTTCATTTTTTTCAAGATTATAAAGGAGATATACTTAAAACGGAGTGCTGATTAATAAGGAAATCAATTGATTGGTGAATGGCGATGGATTGTTTATGGAAAAATAGAGAGAGAGAAACAGGTGCAGTTCAGAATACACCACATTTATTAGTGGTGAATGTCTTATATTACCACAGTGCAGTAACTCTGTCCAACTGTTCAATTCGTCTTCTTTAGTTGATCTTATGTTTTGTTCTTAATCTATAAATATGTTTCCAGCTCAATATCCTGAGCAGTAAGTTCAGAAAGTTTAATGTGAAATTAAAAAGCTTGAATTGCAGTACATATTAGCTAAGACAGGTTGGGGATGAGATAAGAATAAAATTTTGTAAATTTTGGCTTCAACATATTTCCTCATTTCAGGTTGAATATTTATTGCCCTTTTGGATGCCCCTTGCTAACAGGTTAGAGTTTGTGATATCTGTGGGGATGTGGGACTGGAGGAGTTACTTGCAATTTGCAGCAAGTGTACTGATGGGGCAGAACACATGTAAGAATATAATTTTGTGCATCTTGTACTTTTTAGGCTTAATTTTGCTTTTTCGTCCCTCTGGCCTTCCAGAAGAGGATTCACTCCCAATTGTTTCAACTTGGCAAACTTACTCTTCTATTTAGGAATAAATTGGTAAATGGAAGCAAGTTATTGCCCCTGGTAATTTTTGTTTTTAAATTACTTTAATAATAATTAGAGGGGCTTTTATGATTAAGGAGGTGTTTGAATGGAAACCAAATCATAGTTTTAAAAGTGATTTTATGATATACGAAATAAATGTGTGGAGGAGTTTGTCTCGATTTGCAAAAAGTGCTTTTTAAAAACACTTTTAGGTGTTCCCAAACACCCCCTAAATTGAAACAAAAGGGACTAAATTGTGTGAGTTTTCTTTCTTTTTCAAGGAAAAAAGAAAGAAAATAATAGTATTATGCCATCTGTTTGCCTTTATGTGTCATTCCATGCTTTCTGGGAACTGAAATTTTGGCGTTATGTATTTCTTTCATTCAACAGTTACTGTATGCGCATTAAGCTAGACAAAGTTCCTAAAGGTGACTGGACATGTGAAGAGTGCATTGTGAGGACAGATGCTAAGAAACCAGCACACGATAAAGTCAAGGAGACAACTGGAAAATTGACAGGGCTTCCACAATGCCAAAGATTTGGAAGTGCAGTAAATATTGAATGTAGGAGTAGTTTGAAAATCAAATCCAGATCTCCATGTGCAGGTGGAAAGGGAACAAATGATGTAAATTCTGTATCTCTGTTACCAGCAAAGAGACATGGAGCCCTTTCACAAGCGCAGTCTGTGAAAAAAGCAAAGACCACCCTCACTGCGCTCCAAAGGTCATCCAAACCCTGCAATAACTCTCTACTTCATCGGGACACCTCATTCAAGAACTTAAAGAAGGAATTGAAAGAAACCAAGGAAATTACTTCTGTGCTTCAAGTATCTTGCAATGCTTCGGAGAAAGGTAAGGTTCCTAATGCTCGCGGTGTTAAGAGGTGTGTGGAAGCTTTAGAGGCAGAGTCAGACAGACAAACAAGGGATCTTGAAACAGAAGTTATATCCCCCAAAAAATCCAATACAAACAAGCCTTTGCTTCAAAGGGACACCTCGTTCAACTTGAAGAGGGGGCAGATCAAAGCATCCAAACAAATTAGTTCTGAGCCCCAAATATCTTGCAACGCTCAGGAGAAGGCAGAGGTTCCTAGTGCTACTGGTGACAAGAGCCATGTAGAATTGTTAGAGGCTGAGTCAGATAAAATGAAAAGGGATCTTGAAACAAGAGTTAAATCTCCCAAAGAATCCAAAACAATCAACAACCCTGCACTTCATAGTGGCTCCTCGTTCAAGGACCTAAAGAAAGGTAAAATGAAACCATCCAAAGAAATGACTTCCGTGCTCCAAATATCTTGCAATGCCCAAAGGAAAGCAAATGTTCCTAGTGCTAGTGGCGATGATAAAAGAAGAAATATTGTAAAAAATGTTATATCCTCTAAAGCATCCCATCCAATCAACCACTGTATGCTTACAAAGGAGGCTTCATTTGAAAATTTGAAGTAGTGATTGCTCAAAATGTTTCTTCGCTGAAAAAATCTTCCTATGGAGCACAAGAGAAAGCACAGTTATCCTCTATTCTAGGTGATAAATCACCAAGGTTCGTGCTCACGGTCTGAGATATTGCAAGACGAATGTAGGGCGCGTGCACACACACGAGGCAGAAAATTTACTGTTTTCCATAATTAATTCTGAGATAAAATATTGTTAAACTTGAAGCTCTCTTTGCAGGCTCTCTGTTGAAGTCAAGATCATCGAACGTTGCAGATTTGAAATTGAAAGGACAGCTGCCAAAGAGTATTTTTTTTATGCAGACATTCCTCCCCCCCCCCCCCCTCTTTGTTGAATTTGAGATAGATTTTGTTAAGATTAGAAGTTTCTTTGCAGGCTCTCTATTGAAGTCAAGGTCATCTAATGCTGCAGATTTGAAATTGAAAGGAGAATTGACAAAGGGCGGTTCTTTGCAAAAGCTGACAGTTGTGAGAAACCCAAATATCCAAGATAAAAAAGGCCAAAAGGATTCAAGACTGTTGTCTAAATCTCTGTCATTTAACAATGTTAGGTCTGATAAATTAAACACTCCTAGTTCTGAGGTTCTCCTACCTAATGCTGATCACTCTGAGGTCTTGAAGAAATTAGACCAGTCAAAAGAGACACAGATGGTTAAGCAGAAACGTGCGTCCGGGTTACAAAACCCTTTATTGGGCTCAACAGTTTCTGATCCTGGTGTCACTACATTGAGAAGTAAAAAGGAATCTTTGCCTTCTGATGATGCTTTCATTTCAGAATCAAGCAGTCATAAACATGCTTCTGTAAAAAGTTGTGGACTACTGGATAACAGTTTAGATCCAAGCAGCAACATCACTCATAAACCAGCTTCTGATGAAGGGTCCTACCGCAGAAATTTGCCCCAATTTGATGCAGCATTTTTTTCTCAAGCTGGTGTTATACCAGAGCCTGACTGCATATGGCTGTATGACTATTATTCTTTCTTTTCAGTCCAACAACATCATTTTTTTTTTCACAGGATCAAGACTATTTAGTTTCCTTTCTTTAAAGGCCTGTCATTTTTAAACTCTCGTGTAAAGATGTCTGATATATCATGCAGGGGTAAATTTCAGTTGTACAGTAGGGAGGGACTTGAAAGCTTTTGTGATGGAATTCAAGCACATCTGTCAACTTTTGCATCACCTGAAGTTCTTGAAGCAGTAGACAAGCTTCCTGAGATCATTATACTGGAGCAATTACCTCGCTTGAGGACATGGCCAGTTCAATTTGTTGAACGTCAGGCCACAAAAGAAAATATCACGCTCTACTTTTTTGCGACAGATCTTGATAGGTTTGTTTAATTCTTTGTTTTTTTTTTAATTAACATGCTCACTCGTGTCCACTTATAAGTATAGTTCCCTTCAGCTATAGGACGCACTATAGTAGATTATTGGAGGGCATGACGAAGAATGATTTGGCTCTAAGAGGAAATTTGGATGGTGTTGAACTATTAATTTTTCCTTCCAGCCTTCTGCCTGAGGAAACCCACCGTAAGAAATGACCAGCTCAGAAAGTTTACATTTCAGCTCTTTTAACATTTATCTCTCTAATTTTTAGATTCAGATGCTTATAGTGCTTACATTCATCTCTCTATTTTCCCCCCTCGTTTGGCAGGCTGGAATAATTTGTTATTCTTATGGGGAGTATTCAGAGGGCTGAAGGTTGGCAACTCAGTGCGACTCTCAAATTCTCTGAAGGTATTAACTTTTGTGAGCTTGCCTTCATTGTGATATTTAAGCTGCTACGGAGATATGATGTATTCCTCCTTCCATGGCTTAGTTGGAATTTGATAGAATTTAAAGTCGTATACTTGAAATAGCATATGGTTGAAGTTCCAACGTTTTGTCTAGATTATGGTGGGTGTTGGTTGTTTATTCCATGAATGTATTGAAAATTATAATCGATATGCTTCTTCAACGAACTTGTGGATCATTCAACTTGTCATAGGGTAAGCCTGACACTAATCATCAGTGAGGGAATAATTTGGGGATGGACATTTTAATAATTTGTTATTCTTATGGGGAGTATTCAGAGGGCTGAAGGTTGGCAACTCAGCGCGACTCTCAAATTCTCTGAAGGTATTAACTTTTGTGAGCTTGCCTTCATTGTGATATTTAAGCTGCTACGGAGATATGATGTATTCCTCCTTCCCATGGCTTAGTTGGAATTTTGATAGAATTTAAAGTCGTATACTTGAAATAGCATATGGTTGAAGTTCCAACGTTTTGTCTAGATTATGTGTGGGTGTTGGTTGTTTATTCCATGAATGTGTTACGGAGTGACTCCCCCTTTTTTCATTCACCCTGTGTTCTGATGAAAATTATAATCGATATGCTTCTTCAACGAACTTGTGGATCATTCAACTTGTCATAGGGTAAGCCTGACAATAATCATCAGTGAGGGAATAATTTGGGGATGGACATTTTACGTCATTATTCATCATGCATTGCGCTTATTGCATAGCCTTCTTGTTGCAGGAAAAGAATAGATACAGCGAGAGGACTCTTCCGTTAGATCTCAATGCTTATCCACAAGATGGAGAAGACACAGAAGGAGTTGATGAAGGCAGCAAGTGCTGGAGTATTAAGAATTCTCCGGGTGAAATTTATACATCTGACAGTCCGGGCACGAAGTCTTCAGGAGGCGGAATGTTCCTTGGAAGAGATGGTTATAGCTCGCATTTAACTGGTGTGATGCAAGCAAATGACAAAAGAGAAATCAAACCACCAGACGTGGATCTTGATCTTTCGCTTTGGCCTAAAGGTGATGGTGTTGGGCTGTCAACTGGGGTTGGGGACGATAGAAATGACGAAGAGGTGCATGAGGAACCAACAATGGATGGCATGGGGGCGTCGCTTTCAGGATCCCATGCGCAAAATTTGGAGACAGGGGAAGAGACGAAGGAACTCCTGATTGAGCGGCAAGCTGCGGATACTTTGATCTTACTCTCGAAGGGATTTGGAAAGATTTAGCCTTTGAATGGTTGGATTGTGAATAGTGAATAATGGTAGTACTCGAATATGCAATAACCCTTGTATAGAGCATACCATAGTTAAGCTTCATAAAGTTCAATAGTTATAGTGACAACACCCCGTTAGATCCTTGAATGTACATGCAATAAACTAAGCGTCGCTTCCTGTTTCGGACTTTCAGTATAAGCAAACCCTTTGTTGACTTCTCATAGTTGTCCATTGATGCGTCTTGGTGTTGTGTTTATCAGTATTACGTACTTGCGTTTTGGTCGTATGAACGGTTAATCTGTGCTACAAGTGCTGACATGTCTATTTGAGCATTAAACTGTGCCTTTGCTTGGAGCCCCCACATTCCATTCCTAGCATGTGTTGGGTCAAAATCAGAGAGTAATTTGTTACCTTGAAATTTATCAGCTAGTATTTTTTGTCATTTTTCCTAAGAAAATGCTAAATAAAACAAAGAGAGAAAGGAAAATGAAAGAGTGGGGAAATAAAGGAAGAAAGAAATGGATAAGAAACCGCGCACGTGCTCACAGCTTCTCTGAGCAGATGTTTGACCATTTGACTCAACAAGTCAAAGGGATTAAAGAAATTGGCTGCGAGTATTGAAGGTAAAATCGTTTGGAGCCTGAGTCCGGCGCCCAAGCTCCTCTGCCTGATCACCGGCGACTCCTTATAAAGTTGTTAAATCATCAATAGATTGAAACCCAGAAGAAAGGAAATGTCGACGGAATCATTGGAATCCTTCACGCACGCCCTACACGCTCTCACAACCCTATCTTACCACAAGCACGCCATCTCCGCCGTTAAATTCTCATCCAACGGCCGTCTCCTGGCGTCTTCATCCGCCGACAAGACCCTCCGCACTTATGGCTTCACCAATTCCGACTCAGATTCCGAAAGCCTGAATCTGTCACCTATGCAAGAGTATCAAGGCCACCATCTGGGCGTATCTGATTTGGCCTTCTCTTCTGACTCTCGCTTCCTCGCCTCCGCCTCCGACGACAAGACCCTGTGCTTATGGGATGTTCCTACTGGTTCACTTATCAAAACTTTCCATGGCCACACTAACTACGTCTTCTGTGTTAATTTCAATCCTCAGTCCAACACCATCGTCTCTGGTTCCTTCGATGAGACTGTTCGAGTTTGGGATGTTAAGTCTGGAAAGTGTTTGAGGGTCCTCCCTGCTCACTCCGACCCCGTTACTGGCGTGGACTTTAATCGCGATGGTTCTCTTATTGTTTCCGGCAGCTACGATGGGCTCTGCCGGATTTGGGATGCCACAACTGGGCATTGTGTGAAGACTTTGATCGATGATGAGAATCCCCCCGTTTCGTTCGTCAAGTTCTCGCCCAATGGGAAATTTATCCTCGTTGGCACTTTGGACAATACTATGGTAATTCAGTCGAATTCACTTGCTTCTTTGTCGTATTTAATTCGCATGATTAGCTTTTCGGTCACAATATGCTTCTTTTGTGGTTCATATATGGCCCTTTTCCTGTATTTATTATCGGCTTCGGGGACATGGATCATATAGAACAAGTATTATGAACTGATAGCACTTACCTGTGGAAATTTGTTTTGTCATGTCTTGAAACTTCTAGTCCAAGAAAGTAGCTCTGAAAGATTAGTCAAATCCAGATTTTGAGCTCAACTAATGTTTGGGGTTCGGTGAGAAAAAATAGGAAGAAGAAGCAATGTTTCTGAGCGATTTGCTTGCAACGTTAGACTGCAAAGATTAGTGGTAAATTGTTCGGCTCAGAAAACAGTATAGCTGTTTAATACTCTTGATTTCTATATTCTAAAATACGAATGGCTTGTTTGATTTTTATGACATTCATTTACCATTTGGTTTTTGGACAAGAACAAAGCAGTATGTTGTAATAAAACTAGAAAGACTCTGCTGTGGTACAGAAAAGTTGGCGGTTTTCTTCAAATTGACTCTTTCACCTGTATGTTGGAAATGCAGATGTATACTTGAGCACTAAAGGTTCTTGTGAACTTGGGCATAAAAATTCTTATGCTGGAGTCTGAAACTCCCAAACTCCGCCTAGATTTTGGATTCTTATGGCCGAATATCATAAGTTCTCAAACACGTAAAGGCAAAATGAATTGATTCTCATGTTGGGTTATTCTAATGGTATCTACTGCTGTAATTGCATTCCGCCAATTGGATATCTTAATGGGAAAATTGTAATAAGGTCCCACCTAAGAGAATTAAATACAAAAAAGCTTCTTGAAATTATCAAATTATTCTGAAATCTCAAAAGACCTCATTACAAGAGATTTTATTTGTTTAATCACTAAAATGTCCTTATCTTTTTTTAAAATATGCATTGACAATTGAAAGTGTGGTCATTAACAACTTAAGGTATAACGATTAACAACTATCACTGCAAATATTAATAACTCATACATTACATTTTTATGATATGCTGAGAAAATGTTATTAATACCTACCGCGATATTTGTTAATTATTACATCTTAAGTTGTTAACGATTGCTTTTTCAGTTGTCAATGCATAGTTAAAAAAAAAAGTAAGGGCGATTTGGCAATTAAACAAATAAAATCTCTTACAATGAGGTTTCTTGGGATTTCAAAATAATTTGATAATTTTAAAGAACTTTTTTGTATTTAATTCTTTTATGTGGGACTTTATTGCAATTTTTCCTATTTTAATCTCTTCCCTTGAATAGCGAAATTTGAAAGCTTAATTGGCTCGGATGTTTAAGAATCATTACGTAGTTTTGAACTTTCGTGATATGGGCTTATGTTCATATGTTGTAATCTTTCCCTATCTGCAGAGGCTTTGGAACTATTCGACTGGGAAGTGTCTGAAGACGTATACGGGTCATGTTAATTCAAAGTATTGCATTTCGTCCTCCTTTTCTGTTACAGATGGGAAGTATGTAGTAGGTGGTTCCGAAGATGGTTGTATACACTTGTGGGAACTACAGACAAGGAAAATAGTACAAAAATTGGAAGGTCACTCGGATACTGTTATATCTGTCTCCTGTCACCCTACAAAAAGCATGATTGCTTCTGGTGCTCTTGGCGATGATAAAACTGTGAAGATTTGGACTCAACAGAAAGAATGATCTTGTTTGTATTGTAGAAAATGCTCGATGGTTCCGGGGTGAAGAAGAGGATCTGAGCAGTGAAGAAACCGGTCCCACTTTGTTCCAAGAGGGTAGCAATCGTAGTATTTTAAAGGAGATCTGTGGGGATCTCAATTTGTCTTCTTGTATTAAAATGTTAATGAGATGACTGTTGGTTGGGAATATAGGTCGAGGCATATGCATGAAGCCGAAGCTTTAGCATTTGTATGGATTTCTATGCCTTCCATATAGGAAGATTGGCGTATAATCACTTGTTTCTCTACAGACCACAGCTGCCCAAGATGACTTCTTGTGCAAGTTACGTACTCTTGAAATGATCATTTACCTGTTTATGCGCAAGCAACAGTTAAGACAGTCAGGGATGTTCCAAATCCATCCAAGTAAGGGGAATAAAAAGGTTGTCTTGGTTGCTAGTTATGCTAAACCAATTAAGTTGGTTTGGTTCGAACTCATGCTCAAATTTTATATGTATCTGTTCTGCGTGAAGTTTTAGGAAGAGAGTAGCAATACAAGTAACAAAAGAATTAAGACTATTGTTTACAAGAAATATGTAGGAAAGATTGGAAGAAGAGAGGTTGGAACATTGTGAGGCAAATAAAAAATAGTTCTGCAAACATAATTTTGGTGCTAGGAGAAAATTTCATAACTAGAAAAAGGAAAAACCCGACCAGTACAACACGCATTATTCTCATCCTCACCTGTACACTGAGGACGCAGACACTGACAATAACTTGAACACTTTTGTCTGAGCTAGGAGCATGCATATCCATTGTCCAATTTTTCAATGGGGGTTGCTTGTTTGCTGCTTCCGCTCCTTCTTTCTCCCCTCACAACGTGCTATTCCTATATTTTCTGTAATTAGCCTCATGTGCGAACATAAAAAAGATAGAAAAAAGCTATAATCCATTCTATTTATTTTATGATAACTCTAAATAATTGAGACATCCATTTCTCTGGTAAAATTATCCAAAAAAATAAAACTGTATATACTTTGCCCATCGATTTCATTCCATCACACTTTTCTTAAAATCATAAATCCCTAAAAAATATGCATGTTGGAGGCGTTGATAAAGTTGGGCCTTGAAGTTCGCAAGGGTCAGGCCCGTACAAAACTTGAGAAAATACAGTATAGTTGAATTTTTAATTAGTAATAGTGGGAAGAAAACTTGGGCCACAGCTTCGAAAAGAGTGGACGTATGTCAACGTTTATATCTGATCCTAATTATAAGATTCAGTTGACTAATTTAAAGAGATTAAAAAAGTAAATTGAATTAATTATTTGTCCTAAATAGGTGTTGTCTTTCCTAAAATATTTTTGCTAATCAAGTGTATTGACTAGAACTATCATTGTTAGAAGAGTTACTTTGAAAAAAAATGTATAAATATGAGAGACAAAGTGAATTGGGATCTTATATTTAAGACTAAAATAAAAGTCAAATAGGGTCTTATAATAAGGACTAGAGGTAGTATATAACATTATACTGCCTCCGGTTCTAATTATAAGATCCGGTTGACTAATTTAGAGAGATTAAGAAACTTGGTTAAGTTAGTTATTTGTAATGAATAGGTGTTGTTTTTCCTAAAATATAATTACTGATCAAGTTTGTTATCTAAACCTACTATTGTTAGAAAGATTACTTTGGAAAAAAATACATAAACATAAGAAACAAAGTAGATTGGGGTCTTATATTTAGGATCAAAATAAAAGTCAAACAAAATCTTATATTAAGAATTGGAAGTAGTATTACATAAATAAAGGCAACAGATTTTTTTTTTTAAGAAAAAAAGGTAAGCTTGGGCAGTATTTAATACTTCCTCCCTTTTTTATGATAAACATTTAACTAAATCGTGTGAATTAAAAAATTAGTTAAAAAACTAAATTTGTAAAATTGCAAGTTTTCTCTTCAACGATATTTTTATTTATAAGGGAAAGAGAATATAAAAAAGAGAATAAGAAAGTTATTCAAATACAAAAATAATAAATTGAAAAATAAGATAATAAACATATTAAGTATTAAAATAAGTAATTAGTGGAGGTAAAATAAAAAACTAACTAAAAAATTATACATTTTACAATTTTTTTTTTATAAATAGAAACAAAATAAATATGACAGTTATTTCCTGTAAACCTAAGAATACAAAGTGGGGAATGGTTGTTTGGATTATGATTGAGTAAAAGTAAGTTGGTTATAAAATGACCAAAATAGATATGAGTTTTAATAAATAATGAAACATGATTAAAAAAATAATTTCACATAATACAATGAAATTAAAATAATTTAATATGAAGAAGTCATAAAAAATATTTTAAATATAAAGTGAAACATGAAAAATAAAAGTATATTTAGGAGCATATTTAAAAATAAAATATATTTCTAACTTATTCATTACTTTCAACTAATTTTAACTGATTTTTATTATCTACAAATTAGTTATTTGAGGCTTATAATAAGAACCAAAAGAGGTAATAAATTTCTTAACTTTTTCTCTCTCCATATTTCAAAAGCTATAAGCCATAAGCTATAAGTCATAATAAGCTGTTAATTTTAGCTTATAGCTTATTGTAGCTTTTCAGACAAAAGCCCGATTGCAGAAAAGCTGATCCAAACGGACCAAATTGTGTCAATCGAGCTTATAGAGCTTATAAGCTACTTATAAGCTCAAAATAAGTGATGCCAAAACAGGCACATAACAGAGTGCGCTTTCGCTGCCGTCAAGTTGAAAGTGCCTTTATCGCGGGTGGCAGCCACCTATTTGTGTTGTGACTAACAGAGAGTTTATTAATAGAATATTACATCTACTTTTTAATATAAAAATTAGTTAACTAATTTGATTAGATTAAAAATTTTTATTAAGTTAGTTATTTGTAATAAATATGTGTTGCGTTTTTTAAAATATCTTTACTAATCATATGTATTAGCTAGTAATGTTTAATATGTGTAATTGTTACAAGTACTACTTTAAAAGACAATAAATAAATATGAGAGACAAAATATATTAGAGTATTATTTAAAAGTTAGAACCAAGTTAAAAATCACACTAACTCTTATATTAAAAAACAACATATGATAATATGAGTGCAATCCAATGGATGCAATAAAACTCAATAATGGCAACTCATGTCACTACAAATATGCAAATTAAAGCATGGGTTTATCTTGGAAAAAAATCATGAAAATGCATTAGCTACAACTTAATTAGTCCCTTCAATTTTTAGCACAAGAGCATGTTTTAGTCATAAATATAAACAAAAATACTTATATTGAATTTCTTAAATTTATTGTTTTTGTTATTACAGATATAGAAATAGGGCCATCGCAACACCCATCAAAAGAGTAGTTCCCCAACCGGGAACTACTTTACCATATTTCAAATTCAAAAGTTTCAATAAATTATCTATAATAGTTTGTTTTGGACCAGATCTAGAACTACTCTTAACAGTTATTGTAGCCATAAATCTTATTTTTTATTCATTGAGATCTATTGACCTTGTATACCATTCCGTTATAATAAATGATCTTATCCTAGATCTATTTGTAGTTTATTTTTTTCACGTGAATTTATAATTTAATAATAATATTCTAAAAAAATGACACATAAGCATAGTTAATTAGAGAATTTATTATAATGATATAAAAAAACGAGAGAATCATAATCAGGTTTAAGAAAAAGGAATTAAATATCTTAAAATCTATCGATGAGAAAAGAGTAAATAACAATAAATTTCAGAGTAAAAAATGACAACATATTCAAAGTAATTACTTGTCACTAAAAAAATTTTATATTAATTTTTTTAAAACATCTTAATAATTCTCCCTGAACAAAAATTCACTAAAGTATTGTGAAGATATAAATCATAATTCACAATACAGTGAATACACCTTAGAATTTTCGGCCAAAAAAAAAAACAATACACCTTAGAAAACAACTGATACTGGTGAGAGGAGGGATCTCGAAGCTTGGGGATTGACGCAGACGCGGTGGCATTGGCAGGCACACGTGACCGTTAATGGAATACTCCCACGTTTGTTGCTGACAAAGCCCCGAGTTTTGGGCCTGACGTAAGAGCTGAGGTCTTTTTTCCCCTCCCCTGGCCTTTCTGTTTTTTTTGGCCACTTTTGTCTTTTCTTTTCTCTTTGGTAATCTCTTACCCTCTCTCTTACCGCCCACTTTTGAATGTGCTCTGTGAAGCTTCCTTCTTTCCCCCATTATTACGTGTTCCCACCCTCACAAAATTTAAAATAAACCACAAAACACTACTTACAAGCCATTGGCAATTTATACGTGTGTGTGTGTGCTTACCTTGAACTCTACTAAATATTTTCAGGCCGAAAAAGAAACTCTATCCAACAAATGTAAAACATATATATATCTGACTTGATTGATCGATAACATTAGTGTAGAACATAAAATTAGTCGTTAATTATATTATTCACGTTCTTTTAGTTTTAATAATAACGCAAACCCTAATACACGACTGATTTACCTTATTTTTATTGAAAATCTAAGCCAAAAAAAAATCATGTCCAACCAATATTCGCCCTTTTATAAATTAACTACTTATATATGGAAATATAGGGTCTGTTTAGAATAACTTATAAATAGCTTTTCAATTGTTATTTACGGAGTACAAAGTAAATATGTGAGAAAAGTTTTGTCTCGATTTATGTAAAACATGCTTATAAGTTATTTCAATCGTAATGACAAATAAGGATATAGCTGTTTCGAAATTTTGGTTATGTTGTCAATAATTTTATTATGTAGAATTATCTTTTTTTTTTGGTAATTTCCTAAGTGCAGTAATATTTTAGTCAAGAAAAGACAAAGTTAAAGAAAATACAATTCATTCCGGTCATTAACAACGCTTATCACGTGATTCCTTTCCCTCACTATATGTCAACTTCCCCTACACACCCTTTGACTTTTCATTGAAAGCCCCTCCTTCGCCTTCCGCTTCCCTCTTTTCTTCTCTCTTTTATATATTTCTCTCATTATTTAAACTCAACACACCAACACCTTATTTCGGCTTATCCTAAACCCCCTCCTTATTTGTTTTCAAAATCGCTGTCTTTTAGCACTACATGATTTGATAATCTGATGACTGATTTCATTTTGAAAAACTCTATTCAACTCTTAGTTTTATTTTCTATCGATTTCTTTTAATAACAAGTATGAAATTTGAAGACGAGTTTGAACATGTCAAATGATTGACATATATATGCTGTCATCGCACCAACTATTTCGTAGTTATAGGCATATAGTTGCAAAAAAAAAAAAGAAGAAGCTATATATGCATATATACATATCCTCTAATAGGGATAGTCTCTCCACATCATTTGGGAAAAAAAAAAAAAAGCTTTTTCAGGTGGGAACGAGACCGGCCGGCGGGGGGGGGGAATCGGATATGATGCCCTCTAAGTATTTAATATACTGTGCTTATATAATTATTATGAGTTTGAGCAACTTCGGCGGGATGGATGATCTAAACGCCATGTCATGATGGTATCATCCATGGACCCCGTGGATCATTAAACCACAGACTTACTTAATTATTGTGGTAAATATACTGTTCACACTTGCATTACACAATACGATGTGTCATCAAATTAAAACTTAGCCTTGTGAACAACATAGTAAAAGATTAAAAAGATATAATGTGGACAAGATATAAGAATGAGAAGGAGAAGTTAGAGAGAGTATTAGCGGAAGGTGGTTTTATACTTCACAGAGAAGAGCAGCGGCATGATCATAAAGAAAAAGGGAGAGGAATAATTTGTGGAGATGTGAATAAAGACGGGGATAGATGGAGCATCATCGTACTAGTATGGACGTGGCCGAAACAATATGACAGCCTACTTCCGGTTCTAATTATAAAATTTCATTTATAAACAACAAAGTCTTATAATTAGGACTGACGATAAGATTAATTAAGGAGGACCAGGGCACACATTTTGAGGTACAGCAACTTAACGCACGAATTCCCGTTTCATGGGAGGGTGAAGAGCATCCACGACCTTTTTTCCCAGCTTCCCAGTCGTCTCTACGTACGCGGTGTCCTGGTCAAAGTATCTCCAATTTAAGCTCTCATTATAAAGAGAATAATTTTTGTTTTTTAAGAAAAGGAAGGAATTGAGCCCAACTGAGATGATGAGTCAGCCTCCAATGCGCCATATTCGGTCAACCTGTCTCTCCAATCCGTTTCCCACTCTCCTCAGTCAGAAGTAGCTAGCCTTCCGCACCATCACACGCTTTTCACGTGTTGGTTTTCACATCTGCACCAACATAGACTACTTATATATTTTTAATTAAAAAAAATCCAGCAGACAAAAACAAGAAACCCTATATTCAAGTTCAAGTTGCCTGGACATATCCCCTCTCAAAATATCATCTGTTGCTTAATTATTTATACTAGTAAGCCACAAATCAAGCTCACGCTTAGTAGTTCTAGCTAATAGTGTATTTAATGATCGGTATTCAAAATTCATATTTTTCAGTGTTAATTAATCACGGCTTATGCTCATCTAGCCAGGCACGAGATTTATACTTCCCGAGAACTTTAATCGGTTACCAAAACGGACACCCAAAGCATGATCCGGATTAAACAATATTAAATTTTACTGCCCCGTTATATCAAGCTTGCTTACTTTTACGGAATTGCTCTGGGTCAAAAATATAGGTTGAATTACACTGTATGTATGCGCACCGGTGTGATTTTTAATTATTAGAGTATGGTCCATAATATAAACAGTACTTATGTTGACATTTTAGCCACAAAGAATAGTGTTGAGATGATTTTTGTTTGGATTATTCATTTGGGTGCCATAAACAAACGGACTTGGATTATCTCCACTGCCTTCCCATCCTCTACCTTTCTTTTCTCTTCACAACCATTTGATCAAAATTCCAATGGTTCAGATTTAACATCTTATAAAAATAATATTATTAAAAAATAAAAAATAAATTTAAACTGTTAAAATCTGGTCTTAACAGTTTACAATTGTAATAAAAAAAAAAAAATTTGCTTTATAATAACAGTCTGTAGTTATGAACTGTTCAGATTAGATTTTAACAATTTAAATTTATTTATCTATTTTTTATCATAATATTTATTTTTATAAAATGTTATAACATATTAAATCTGGACCATTAGAGTTTTGATCTAATGGTTGTGAAGAGAAAAGAAGGGTGGTAGAGGGGAAGAGGATGGAAAGAGTAGTGGAGAGAATCCAATTCCATAAACAAACCAGAGAAAAGGAGAGGACAATAAAAGAGAGAGAGAACCCACAATTTGACTAGAGAAGTGAATCGCCGAGAGTGCAAGGGGGACCGAGTTGGAATAGCGACGGCCAAGAGAGATATAAACTGGATACCATTTTCACATGTGGTTGATACAATATGTGTGTGAAGCGTGTACGATACCCCTATATAACCCCTTCTCCAAATTTATTTCTTCCCATCTGTACAAATCTTGGAAAATTAGAACAAACTCTTCATTCCATCTTGTTCCTCAGCCCTCTTCCTTGAAGGTAAGCGCAAGCTTGTCGTCCCTCTCTATTTTACTTCGCTTCGGTTAACTGTTTTTCTTCAACGTTTCCCTAAGCTGAGTTTTGAAACTTAATTACACAATCTTCTTGCTCCGGATCGATCTTCTCTTTTCCCAGCATGAAATGGATCTAGTCTCTGAAACTTGTCTCTCCTCATATCCAATGAAAATTTAAGATACGCCTTCCTCGTATAAATAATTAAGGACCTGGCGAATGAGATGCCCTGACAATATATCTGTGCGCTAAGATCAGTTTTTACCACTGTTGCTTTTTCAGTGTCGCGTATCTCAATTGGAAGGAAAGTTAAGGGAGATTAAAATGGAGATTTCATCCAAGTACTTCGCAGAGCTGGTAATTAAGCATCATAGCTCTAGGCATTGAACTTCTGTAGTTAATTTATGAATATGCGTGGTTCGATCTGTAACTAATCAAGTTTTGAAATTAAACATGACAGGATCCGAGCATGTTCGAGCAGTACCCAGTGGATTGTATGGCGTACGACGTTGATGACTTTCAGGATTTGTCGGGATGCGGCGACAGCTATTCATGTTTCGACTCCAAAAGAAGCCGTGATGAATGGCTCCCAGTGGAGAGTCCTGAACCTTTCGCCCAACAAAGACCAACCAAACAACTCAAGAGCACCAACAACACCAGCTGGGCCTCTTGCACCACCACAACAATGGCTGACCCCATCGCCCCTTCCAACAATTCTGCTTCTAATTCCACCTCCCAAATCATTTCTTTTGACAACTCCAATTCTTCCCCAGACGTCGCTTCTCACCAATTTCACAGCTTGGATTCTAGTCCTGTTGTCAAGCCTAAAAACGAGACTATTTTCTCCGCTGACCACTTGGATTTCATTGCTCCATTCTCCATTTCTCAGCCCACCTATGACCACAAATCTGATTCCTTTTTTCTCCCACATGAGAAAAAAACTGCCACCATTACCAGAAATCCCATCCAAGCTCAGGATCACGTCATGGCCGAAAGAAAACGAAGGGAGAAGCTCAGCCAGCGGTTTATTGCTCTTTCCGCCATTCTTCCTGGTCTCAAAAAGGTACTTTAACTGTCATTTTAACTAATTATCACTCTATCTTTTGATCTTGTCCTTTTGTCTAGAATCTAATCAACACCTTCTTACATTCATCAATACATATATGTGCAGATGGATAAGGCTTCAGTCCTAGGAGATGCGATCAACTATGTGAAGCAACTGCAAGAGCGCGTGAAGATTCTGGAGGAACAGGTAGCCAAGAAAGCAGTGGAAACAGCGGTGTTTGTGAACAGGTCTGTTGCCTATGCCGACAATGATGGCTCCTCCTCCGGTGAAAATTCCAACGGCTGCTACGCCCAGCCACTGCCCGAAATCGAAGCGAGAGTTTCGGGCAAGGAGGTACTCATCAGAATCCACTGCGACAAACTCTATGGATCTGCCGCCACCATACTCTCCCAGTTACAACATCTCCATCTCACTGTCCAGAGCAGCAGCTTCTTGCCCTTCGGGGATGCCACTCTTGATGTTACTATTGTTGCTCAGGTAAATTAATCTTTAAATGATATTAATTTATTTCAAAATTCCGTCAACTCACCAACACTTGTTATATTTAATTAATGTATAAGTTGCGTTAATTTGTCGCAGATGAACAAGGAAGAGTGCGTGACAGCAAAGGATATAATAAGAAGCCTAAGGCAGGGACTGAGGCACTTAAATTAATGTGTGTTCGTGCTTTGTCGTACAGTAATATTGGCCGATGTGATGAGGAATAACAGGTGTTAATAATAATAATTTTTACCGCGGCGCTTTCTCCTTTCCTTTTTTTTCGTCCATCTGGATTCTGGAGGAATTAGAGGCCTGCGTGATTAGTATCGCTTACAGTCTATCAGTTAACGTTGGTTTGTCTGATGGGAAGCTTAATTTGAAGGGTGATGCCACGAAGGGTTTTCGTTCTTGTTTTTGCGTAGCTCACTGGTTCGCTACGTTTATCCTACCCGAAATGGCTTGTCTCTTCAATTTGTTTGGTACTTTTGGGACCATGGATTTTTGAGAGGACGTGAATACTCAATTACACCTCTTTCCTTGGAGAAAAAGGTGTAGTTTGACAGACGATAGCAAGCAATTCACTTTATTTCAATATCTCCAAAGTCATTCTATGTATCAGTACAATAGTCCTCAAATCAAGCAGTATACTTGTGTTTCTGATAGATCAATGACACTTTGTTATTTCCCGAGAAAAATATGAAGAGCATATCTGGTCGTAAGTTTTATTTTAAGATATCCTGGATCGACAACATCCAGATACGAGCATAAACGAGTTTAAGAAATTAAATTAGCCTTCACATGAAGGAGTGTGACCATTGGGGGGTCTCAATTATTATGCGGCCAGCGCGTGTCAAGGGATCGGAATTAATCTTTTTTAAGCAAGTACAAGTTTTTTTTTTTAATTAGAGATAATCCTATCTGGAACACTGTTAAATACTGAATGTAGACATTCCTTAAGGTAGGAATTCAAATCCTGGTTTAAGGAGACCCAACCTCATTGTTACGGATCAGCATAAGTTGAATTAACTTCATTCTTGTTACTGCTTGGTGCTACAATTTAATATTGCGAAAAACTTAGTACACATCATGATCTGTTGGCCAGGCTCGTAATCTATTTAAAAAAAAAAAAAAAGACAAAAGCTTTCGTCGTTCTTCTAGACCAATCTTTTTCATTATTAATTTATTGAAGATGATATTCTTTCATGTGCTTAATAATGAAATAATTTAACTAGGATGCATTGTGGATAATATTAAATTATCTATATCTATATATCCAGCGTTAAAATATAAATAATTAATTATTGGGGTTAAGTTAAAGTTCGTTGACACGTTCAGATATACTCGAAACTTTTGCTGGAGGCAACAAAGCAAAGAATTCATGTGACATGTGGCTCAGATTTGTTAAAAGCATAATAAAGAGCTCTGTTTGGTGATGTTCCTTTTCTTTTGTTTTCTGTTTCGCCAACTTGCTACTGATGTCGCTCGTGATCACGATAGCAAAATAAACGCACATATATTGTTAAAGCCACCGTAACCCAAAGCCAGCATCCTCAACCAAAAATGTTTTACTCCTCCAGTTCTAAATATAAAACCCTTATACTAGTGTATATAAAGGTCTTATATTTAGGACCGGAAGAGTATTTTATATATGTCCCTTTGTTTTTTATGGATATTAAGAGAGTTTGAATCCTCGTTTGATCTATAGTTTCACTGATATGTTGATACTACCTCTGATTTTTAATGTAAGAGTTAATTTGACTTTTAATTTAGTTCTAAATATAAAACTCCAATCCAATTTATTTATCATATTTATCTATTTTTTAAGGTAATCTTTGTAGTAATTCTATATGATGAAATTTTCATTAAATAGTAGTTCTAGTTGATATTTTAGGAATACTAACTTAACTAATAATTTTTTTAATTTACTCAAATTAATTAACTAGCTCTTATATTAAGAACTAGAGGTAGTATATACTTGCATATGACACTCGTCAACTGGTCCTTTTGTCGTGGTCGGTGATTGATTTTTTAATAACGCTGTTCCAAATTTTTGATTCAAACAATTTTTCGTATTCCGTTCTCATTTTCCCACAAGACGTACGCCATTTTTGAAGATGATGGATACTTGATGATGACAAATAATCGTCTCTCGACCATTACTTTGTGATGTAAAATATATTACTGAGATTTGGTTAGTTTGTTAAAATTCATGAAATTATAATTACACGCAAAATAATTGTACACTGTACTGTCTATATATGTCTGTGTATATGTATATTTCTTTATTTGTATGTATAAGACAGAATTTATAAATATACCGGATATTAGTACTTTGTATAAAAGTAATTCATGTATTTCAGAGTATCAATGCCTTTATTTATATACTCATTGCTACTTATTATAAAGATTATAAATATCTGTTAATATAATTTTATATAAACTAAGGAATTCAGTTAAAATTTTAAAACGCCTTTTAGAGTTTTATAATTAACGTCCACAAAACTCAATATTAGGGGGACAATAAGTTACTCCTCTTTTTGGCCAAAAAAAAAAAGAGCTACTTCTCTAATCCTATTTATAGGGTAGAGAAGATATTTTTTAGTCCTATTGATAAGGCACTAAGAGAATTTTTTTGTATAGATGTATAATTTTACCTTCATTTATTATTGTGTTGACTTTGTTTATATGAGGTATAATGTATATTAAATAGGAATGAAGTTAGAAAGTTATTGAATTTTAAATGAGAGTTAATGAAATTTAAAAAAAATTTCTATGTGAAACATATTAAATATAATTTATAAATAGGAAAAGAGGAGCATTGATTAACTAAGAGATTGTGTAGTTGGTTCATGAGTATTAAATAAAGCGTATCTAGAAAATTGTTTTGGACAATTCAGAAAATACTATATGATAAGGCCCACGAACAAGTATTTTATGATATATATTTGTGGGAATATTTGTCAAACAATTCAAGCGATAGACATTGATATGTTTATCCACCTGTCAATTACATAGGAGACAACCTGTGTGCGCGCGCGCGTCATTGATAAATATTATTAATATTTTTTAAACTAATTTAAAAATATCTATTGAATTAAATTAATGGAAAAATTTATTAACATTAAATACTAAAGAAACAACACATAAACATTAAATTATACTAATAACAAAAGAAATAGAAACCGTCTTAAGATCAACGAGAAAAATTATCGAAAGCAATACAATATAGGTATTAACTAGCTATTAAAACCATAGTCTTCTATTTTTATTAAATAAATTTCTTTCACCTCATTTGGTGTAGCCATGGAATTACCCGCGATATTTTTATATCTGAACAATTAACTAAAATTATTTTCTTAATTATCACATTGTCTATTTTTTAAAAAAAAATTATGGTATATGACCATTGTTCTTTAATATGAGAGCTAGTTGACTAATTTAAATAGACTAAAAAAATTAGTTAAGTCAGTTATTCATAATAAATAGGTATTGTCTTTCTAATATACCATTGTTAATTATATGTATTAACTATAACTATTATTTATAAAAATTTTAACATGTGCAACTATTGTAATTGAAAGGAGCTAATTTGGAAAAAAAAAGGATAATGTGAAAGACAAAATAAATTTGAACCTTATATTTAGTATCAAATTGAATGTTAAACTAACTCTTATATTAATAAATAAAAATAGTACTACATCTGATCTTTAATATAAGACCTTATTTGATTTTTATTTTGGTCATAAATATAAAACTCCAATCTACTTTGTCTCTTATATTTATGTATTTTTTTCTAAGGTAACCTTTCTAATAATAATAGTTCTAGCCAATATACTTGATTAGCAATGATATTTTAGGAAAGACAATACATATTTATTACAAATAACTAAGTTAACTTCTTTCTTTAATCTCGTCAAATTAGTCAACTAGCTCTTATAATTAGGACCAGAAGTAGTATTTAACTAAGAGTTATATAATACACCGACAAAATTTTAGGCCAAATAATTGTTTCAAGGGCTTGGAAACAAGTGAAACCTTTTGGAGGGGGCGAACAAACATTGTAGGGGGACAATTCAAGTATTTTAGAGATAGCAAGTGAAATTTCCAGGGTTCCTATATGTAATTTTCTCTAGTTTAGCTTTGTGGGGGCAATTGCCCCCTAACTCTTAACACACAGACACAGTACAGATTCCTCAGTTGACAAATGCGTATGTTATTTGGACAATTTTACAAATGACAAGCGACAGATAGGGACAGTCCAACAATAATTGAAGTAATTTAGTGCAAGTGTCTTTAATGATATCTAGTTAATTTATAGAATACTGTGGGTGAGTTTTGCTTTTCCTTTTTGATGGTCCTGACATGGTTTTATTACTCCACCTAATTGAAGTTGATTTATCTCCCACCCTGTCTCCTACCTCGAATCCTAGTGACCAGGGAAATGCGAGTTTTAAACTAATGTCAATCCTTTTAAAATCATACGTTCATTATCCCTTTGATTTCCATCCCATTCTAATTTGGCGTTACCGTCTTTTTCTGTACTGATGAGTTTCTCATCATTAATTGTTCAAGTACAGAGAAAATTAAGAACACCCAACTGGCGGGAGATCTTCAATTAAAAATGCAGTAGCTAATAAGGCTGACTTAAAAAAAAGACTCCGTTTGCATCCGTAACGGTATTTCCATTCATAAACCCTAGAGACTCTTTTTTCCCCCCACAATACATGCAGTACGTGCAGTATTACTGCCTTAACTGGACGTGTGGGTGTCTGCATTTCACAACTGGAATTTTGAAATTTACGACATAAAGCCCTATATTTACAACTTGAAGTTTCTCATTAATTTACATTAATCTTCTTATAAAGTTCTCAAGTGTCCTTCTCCTATGTATTTAAGAATCAAGAATTTGTGCGAATGCAGTTGTATAAATGGAATATCTTACTGCAACAACTCTTCATTAGCTCACTGTTGATTGGGGGGCATCTATATATATGGCGAAGCTGAGGACCACAAATTTGACTTGTTGGCTTGCTGTGAATGATAATACCTGGCGATTCTCTGTAAGCCCCAAAGTCATTGTCCCAGTGTCGTCGTAAAGGTTCACACCAGCAAAGATTAATGGAGGTTGACGGGTCAACAACATTGCCTAGGCCCCTTCTCTTCCTGGTTACTTAGAAACTACCACCCTGCTGGAATATACCATCACTGATGTAACTTTCCCAGGAGTTTCGAAATGTTTGCTTGGACCTCATATATTTTGGGTCCAGAGAAACAGTTCTATACTTATTCTAGGGCCCGAAGCTCGTGGGAAGTGAAAGCTTCTTCTTTACCTCCGCCTTTATTCTGGCTCCAAATTACACAATATTTTGCCGCCTTTTCCCAACACACTTGCATCTCTTCAATGGGGATGCTGTCCTCGAACCGAACCCTCCTTTCTGAATCAGCAAAGACTTTACGTTGTTTTTCGTTTTGCTGAGGAAATACTCTCGATGGTTCTGGATAAATCAGACGTCAGCTTGAAATCCCCATACAAGAGGGCAGGCCTCAGTGTCAGCATCCAGATCCAGAAGGGCGCTCTGAACTATTCATAAATTCTATTTGTAAAATGAGAGGCAAAATGTGTCACATGTTTTGGCAGCATCTGAGTGATATTATCCGGGGAGTTTTATATAATATAATTATTACTTCACAGGCACACACACACACACACACACTCATGGAGATGTAGTTGTCAAGGCCACTTGCAGATTTATATAAGCATGACGTTCCGGAGTGAATCAGGCAAAATCTATAACTATGGATGTGTCGTGCCAACAAATTGACGGTCGAAGTTGGAAAACGTTACAAAAGACATGGATGGTTGTGTTTGTACAAGTCGTTTCAAATTTTATAAATAGAATGTTCCGCAGAATGAGATCTGATGAAAGATATGCCGCAGTTATCTAAAGCCAAATAGAGGAAGTGGACTTTTGTTTTATGCGGGAGTGGGGCAACGATGTGTGAACTAAAAAGATTCTTTGGCACGTCCTAATTAAGACTGGCATATATCGTCCCCAACAGAAGCTGAACATAAAATCTGGCCAGTTCACTGCAAATTAGATTGATGACAGACTGTACGTGAAATATTAGGATGGAAACTACAGCTTCCGAAAAGAATGGATATGGATGTCAACGTTCATGTGTAATGTAATATTAAATAAACAAGGCAACAGAATAAAGGTAAGAGGAGTGGGCAGTAGTATTATTTTAAGCTCAAGTTGCACATGATGAATGGAGGAAAGGGGGAGGAAACAGAAGAGAGTTGGCAGTAGCCCAGCGCCCAAACAACGAATTCAATTCCCTAGCGTTGAAAAGTGCCATTTAATTTCCTCCCACCACAAATTAAAGCAAAAGTACAATAAAAGTTGATTATATTTACAGTTATGACGGTGGAAGCCAGTTATTTCTGGCGTGTCTAACCGCAAAGAGCTGGATATGATCCCCCACTGGAAGTATTTAAATGTGTACTGTGTTTATAGATGGTATTGTTAATTGTTTATGAGCTGCAGCAACTTATTGGGTGGATATGGATGATGTAAAGGAAATGTCGTGATGCCATGTGGTGTCATGCATGGATCCCATTGATCATTAAACTACTGAAATGAAAATGGGATGCCCTCTCCACGGTGAGCTCTGATGATTTCAGGTCAAAAGGGCACCGGAAATTACCACAATACATTAATTCTATCAATTGTTTTTTCTCTTAATTAACAAAGGATATATATGAATCATATATATATAATAGCAGGGAAAAAGGTCCCTCAAAGGCATCGCAAGGAATAATGGTAGAGCAGTGGGTGCTTGACCGCCGTACCATGCATGGATGAATATGCATCCTCGAGTCGTACGCGTTTAGGTCCTACGCCCACTTCTATGTATAATTCTTACATTTACGTACACCTGCGGACTGCACTTGTTCTTTTCAGAAAAAATATTACGAGATCCCAAAGGAAAAAAGAAAAAAAGGTACAACAATTAAACAACACAAAATGGCAAACTTTAGCAGAGGAAATAACAACAAATTCATACTATTTTTTGAAACTTTTTAGTTATTGAATTCATTCGCTAAGATCAAATAGTTAGTTTTTCATTATTTTATTTCAATTTTTTTTAAAAAAAAGCCATTCATGCAAATGATTTCTTCTTTGGATGGACTTTTCTTTTTTCAATCATTTACACCACCCCCGGTTGCCACTATACCCCACCACCCTTTTAGAAAGTGGTTTGTGAAATAGTTTTTAAAAAATGAAAAATGGGAACGAAATCAAACAAACTCCATCTTATTATTATTGCTGTTAATTGGCCTGGTGGCAAGGGGAGGGAACAGAATCTTTATGAATTCCCGTTTAATGGGAGGGTGAAGGGCATCCACAATTTTCTACCACCGCACTCTCCCTGTTCTGGTCAAACCATCTTGAATTGAATGGAGGCATTAATAAATTACTCATAAAAGAGAATAATTTTTTTAAAAAAATAAAATAAAAGTAGGGGGCAATAGAGGCATTTAAAATAAGTCAGTCTGGCTGGGTGTTTCCAGAGCTCCGCATATTCGGTCAGCTCGTCCCTCCAATCCCATTCCCACTCCCCCTTTCTTTGAACTTCCAACCAGCTTCCTCTCCATCCCACGTCTTTCACGTGTTCCCTCTCACAACGCCACCAACGACACCAACGTACACTACCTCTTTTTTTTTTTTTGGAATCCTATATGGATTCAAACGATCGCTTCCCTGCAAAGCCACAGTTCAAGTTCATGGTTGCCAAGATCGTACTTCTACCTGTTATTAAATTTTTTATTGTAGCCATTCAAGATTTCATAACTTTTTTTTTTGAATTACATCTTATGTTCATGTAGGCACGATATTTATATTTTCCAATAACAGCTTTTAATTCAGTCGGTTATGTACCAAAATGGACGCCAAAAGCATGATCGGGATTGAATAATTTAAAATTTTACTCGCTCTCTTTTTTCAACCAAACTTTCTTTTACGGAATTGCCCTGGGTCAACAATATTGGTTCCATTCGACTATAGATATCTAGTATTATTATTAGAATATGGCCCGTGATATAAACAGTTATGTTGACGTTTTAGCCCCCAAAAAATAGTTTTGTCCTGATCTTTGTTTGGACTATTCATTCGAATGCCAACAAACAAAACACAGAGGGGGGGGGGGGAGAAAAGAAAGAAAGAAAGAACCCATAATTTGACTAAAGTAAAGAACTGAATTGAGGAGAGTGCAAGAGAGGGAATGGAACAGAGCCGGCCAAAAGAGAGATGATTTGGATACCATTTTCACACGTGGTTGATATGATATGCGTATGAAGCGTGTGCGGTACGCCCTATATAGCCCCTTCTCCAAATTCATATCTTCCCCATCCGAAGAAATCTTAGGAAAAAGAAAATCTTCATTCGATCTTGTTCCTCTTGTCTCTCCCTTGAAGGTAAGCGCGAGCTGGTCGCTCTGCTTTAATTTCCCTACAATTACCCTGTTTTCCTCAATGTTTCCCTTAGACATGTAACTGAGTTTTGAAACTTGAATGCACAGTCTTACTCCCTATCGATCTTCTCTTTTTCCGTCACTGGGCTCAATAGCCCTGTTCTTTACCCAGCTTGAATAGGATTCAGTCTCTGAAACTTATCTCTTCACATTCAATCAAAATTTATACGCCTACCTCATTATAAACTTTCAAGGCAGTGGAGGATCTGGAGATCATGAAAAGCACTGAAAACACAAACACACACACACACACACATGTTGCAACTTGAAAGAGCGTTGTTATGAGCTTACCTTATAGAAGCTGTCTGCTAAGATCAGTTTTTGCCGGTGTTTTTTCAGTGTTGCTTATCCTACTCGAAGGAAAGTTGAAGGAGATTAAAATGGAGATTTCAGCCAAGTACTTCGCCGAGCTAGTAAGCATACTATGGGCATTGGATTTCCGGAGTTAATTTAGGAATATGTGTGTTCGGTCTGTAACTAACCGAGTTTTGGAACATGACAGGATCCGAGCATGTTCGAGCAGTACCCAGTGGATTGTATGGCGTACGAGGTTGATGATTTTCAGGATTTGTCGGGCTGCGGCGACAGCTACTCATGTTTCCACTCCAAAAGAAGCCGTGATGAATGGTTCCCGGTGGAGAGTCCTGAATCTGTTGCCCAGCAAGGACCAGCCAAGCAACTCAAGAGCATCAACAACACCAGCTGGGCCGCTTGCACCACTACTACAACAGTGGCTGACCCCATCGTCCCTTCCAACCATTCTGCTTCTAATTCCACCTCCCAAATCATTTCTTTTGACAACTCTAATTCTTCCCCAGACGTCGCTTCTCACCAATTTTACAGCTTGGATTCTAGTACCGCTGTCAAGCCTAAAACCGAGACTATTTTCTCTGCTGACGACTTGGATTTCAGTGCGCCATTCTCCATTCTCAAACCCGCCTATGAACACAAACCTGATTCCTTTTGGCTCCCACATGAGAAAAAAACTGCCGCCCTTACCAGAAATCCCTTGCAAGCTAAAGATCACGTCATGGCCGAAAGAAAACGAAGGGAAAAGCTCTGCCAGCGGTTTATTGCTCTTTCCGCCATTCTTCCTGGTCTCAAAAAGGTACTTTGAGTCTTTAACTGTCAATTTTAAGCAATCACTCGCTCTATCTTGTGGTCTTGTCGTATGTCCAGATTAATCTAACCAATATCTTCTTACATTCCTCAATATATATATGTGTGCAGATGGATAAGGCTTCAGTCCTAGGAGATGCAATCAACTATGTCAAACAGCTGCAGGAGCGCGTGCAGACTCTGGAGGAACAGGTAGCCAAGAAAGCAGTGGAAACCGCAGTGTTTGTGAACAGGTCTGTTGTTTATGCCGACGATGATGGCTCCTCCTCCGATGAAAATTCGAACGGCTGCGCCGACCAGTCACTGCCCGAAATCGAAGCGAGAGTTTCAGGAAAGGAGGTACTCATCAGAATCCACTGCGACAAGCGCTCTGGATCTGCCGCCACGATACTCTCCCAGTTACAACATCTCCATCTCACTGTCCAGAGCAGCAGCTTCTTGCCTTTCGGGAATACCACTCTTGATATCACTATTGTTGCTCAGGTATATTTATTTTTAAATTCTTTAATTAGTTCAGAATTTCTGCAATTCACCAGCACTTTCTATATTTAACTTACAAGCTAAGTTGCGTTAATTTGTTGCAGATGAACAAGGAAGAGCGCGTAACGGCAAAGGATGTAGTGAGAAGCCTAAGGCAGGGTCTGAGGAACTTAATTTGATGATCAGTTCGAGAAGTGTTCGTGTTTCGTCGTAGAACAGTAGTGGACGTACGATGTGATGAGGAATAACAGCTGTTAATAATTTTTACCGCCGCGCTTTCTTCTTTCCTTTTTTTCGTCCATCCGGATTCTGGAGGAATTAGAGGCCTGCGGGATGAGTGTCTCTTACAGTCTACCAGTTAAAATGGGGTTTGATTTCGAATGACGCCACAAAGTTTTTGCGTAACTGATTCGGTTAATCCTACCCGATGGCTCGTCGCTTCAATTTGTTTGTTACTTTGGGCATGGATTTTTGAGAGGACCTAAATATTCAATTACACCTCTTTATTCTTTCCCCTCTGCCGTTGTGAAAAGGGTCTAGTTTAACAGACGATAACACGCAATTCACTTTATTTCTATATTTCCAAAGTCGTTATATGTATACAATATTCCTTAATCAAGCAGTATACTTATGTCTCCGATCAATGACATTTTGTTGCTTTCCCAATAAAAATATGAACTGCATATATCTTGTCGTGAGTTTTGATATGCATAGTGCACCAACTTAGTCATTCTTTATTCAATTTTTTTTAATTGTAAGATATCCTTGATCGACAGATACGAGCATAAACGAGTTTAAGAAATTAAAGGGTTTATTTTAAATAGATGAAGTCTCAATTATCATCAAGCCAGCGTGTGTCAACGGAATAAGTTGAATTAACTTCATTAAGAGGGTGTTTGGGAAACCCAAAACCATGGTTTCAAAAGCACTTTTCCGTAAAACGAGGTAATCTCCTCCACATATTTACTTCGTAATCCGTAAAAACACTTCTGAAACCATGGTTTGATTTCTATCCAAACACCCCCTAAAACTCCGCTGGATGCAATAGTTAGTTTATGGCATGGGCCCATGTGCAGGTGACTGGTTGCTACTTTCAATTTAGTACTGGGAAACCACTTGGTCCCACCGCAGATTATGATCTATTTGCCAAGCTTGCAATCCATTAAAAAACAAAAGCTTTCGTTCTTTCTAGACCAAGCTTTTTCATTCTTAATTAATTGTTTATATTGAAGACGATATATGTTTCATGTGCTTAATAATGAAGTAGTTTAATTAGGATGCATTAGGGATATTATTAATTTATCTGTTCAGCACGTTAAAATACATGTATTGGCTTGAAGTCTGACGATAGGTTCAGATACAGATGAAAACTTTGGCGGGGGACATTGTCTGGCAAGAATGCGAAAAATTCCTGAACATGTGTCTGAAAATTGTTAAAAGTATAATAAATTAAAGTCGTGAACAGCAGTGATATGTCAAGATATCGACTTTATATATAGAAATCAAGGTTCATTATTGTGAATTAAGCCATCCAAGATCCTCCCTCCGGGCAAAAAGAAGAAAAAAGAATATCTTTTTACCATGTCGCTTTCTTTGAGCCGTCATTTATGAATAATAAACCCACTTGAATTAATGAGTATATGTGCTATGATTATGTACAGTGAAGTACTAGAATGTAACAGAGGTCTAACCTAAAACATGGGCGGCATTTATGAAATTCTCTGCTGCGTATGAAGGATTTTATGATTCGCGTGAACGTACTAGTTTCACTGAAGCTAATGTTCATACTTGCATCGTTCATTCTTATAGACTAAATTATTATTACCCTCGACTCAGCTGATCCATGTCATGGTCGGTGATTGATTTTTAATTTTGTTTCGAATTAGTTCAAACAGCTTTCCCCGTAATTCTTCGTTTTCTTCTCACTTTCCCACCACCTTTACGCCAAGGATCAACTTGCAGGTACACCAGCTTTGAAGATGATGGACTGAATGACGAATAATCGCTCTCTCCACTCTCTACCATTGTTTTGCAATATATGCTAAATAATATTGCATCCAGTTCTCAATATAAGATTTAGTTCACTCATTTGATTAGATTAAAAAAACTAGTTAAATTAATTATTTATAATAAATATGTGTTGTCTTTTTTAAAATATTTTTACTAATTAAGTATATTCGTTAAAACTACTATTATCACAAGAACTATCTTAAAAAAATAGATAAATATAAGATAAAGTAGATTCAAATCTTATATTTAAAATTAAAATAAAAGTCAAACAAGTTTTATATTATGGACAGGAAATAGTAGTAGTGTAGACGCTTATTTATGTGGATTTCATGGAGGTCTTGGTTATGTTTATTAAATTCATGAAATTATGCCCAGAATACTTGTAACGAGTAGTGGCATTTGGAATAAAAGTTCATATATTTATTATTAGTTGCTTAAGCTTCTAAATGCGAGTTTTTGTTCTCATGTCCTTACTTGTATAATGGTGCGACCCACTTTTTATTACGAGTAGGGGTAGAAACAGGTCAGGCTTTGTCTTTAACAGGCTAGGCCTGTTTAATAACAAGCTTTCTTGAGCCTAGCCTGTGGCCTGTTATAAGTTTTTTTTCCTAGTCTAAGTTTGGCCTGAGCCAGTTAAAAAAGTCTGTAATTTTAAAATTTTCAAAATACATAGTAAAAAATACGTAGACTAATTAAAAAAAGTAAAAAATACATACTACATAATAATTTTTTTATTATTATATTTTATTTAAATTTTAATGTTATAAGTAATATTTTAAATTTTAATTACAATTAATATTATTAAAAACAAATTATAGGTATATATTAAAATTTGAAATAAGACTAAATATAATACAAAATTAAAATAAATGCACAAGTTAGGCTAAGCCTGATAGGCTTGGCAAGCTTTGAAAAAAGCTTAGGCTTAGCCTCTTAAGCTAAAAAGGCCATCAAAGAGGCCTGGATTTTTTTCTATTTTGAAACATATCAGGCTAGGCCAGGCCAAATATAGGTCATGCCATAAGCCCCTGACAGGCCACTGGTCTATTTTCATCATATCTAATTACGAGAATTTGTTAATAGAGGATAAAACAAAGACTTTAATTAATGAAAATTAGCTAATGCTTATGTATTTTTAAAATTATTCTCTATAAGATTTTGATTCACTAAACAGCGGGAAAATGAGTTAGGTATGAGATTTTTTTTTTCGGGACAGAAAAGTTAGTTATGAGACTGTTTACTTCAAAAATATTAAGCAAACGGCACACCAGAAAATTCTTTCGACTACGTGTAAAAGACTTTATAGCAAAAATCATGGAAAGAAGTCTTATAATAAAAACTGGAGGGAATATTTGCGAAATGAGTCAGACGATCGGGTCTTAATATATTTATACACTATGGGGCCGGGCAATAATCAAACTCTGAGAGGACAATAATAATATATTTAATCGTAACAAATTGAAGTTGTAATTGACATAAACGTACATGTGATTATCTGGAAAGTTTTACAAGCATACGACAAGGGCGGGACCGATGGGGATATCCCAACAATAATTAAAGTAACTTAGTGCAAATGTCACATCAGAGGGCAAGTTAACTGATAGAATCCTGCAAGTGGGTTTTTTTTTTTTAAATATATTTTGAAAAGGATCGGAGTTGTAGGTGAGTTCTGCTTTTTCCTTTTTGTGAAGTCCTGCGCTCTGGTAATATTACTCCACCGAATTAAAGTTGATTTACCCGCCGCCTTGTCTTCTTGCTCCAACCCAGGTAACCAGAAATGCAAGTTTTCCGCAATGTCAATCCATGTTAATAACCTCACGTTTTTTTTTCCCCCTTGTTAAAGTTTTCATCACTGATTGTGTGCTGACATTACCCCATTTCGTCATCATTTATTGTTCTAGTATAGTAGAAAAAGTGATGGAAGCCAACTTTTTGGGCGGGGGGGAACGTTGGGCGCCTTTTAGAATTAACAGAATGGCTAATAATCTTGACTTTACATCCGTGCAGAATAGCACTGTATTACCTTTCATAAACCCTCGGCTCGGACTGTTTTTATAGGGTTTGCCTCACTAGTCACTAGACATTTGAGTCCTACCTATTAAAACTCCCTTGTCCTTTTCTTGCCCTCTCTTTGGTCTCTTTGGTCCTGAACCTGCAGTGATACCCCTCACTGCATCACACGCACGCAAAAATACTCACACAACCAAGAGAAGCATTTAGCCAGTGGGGATCTAGAAAAGCATTATTAGCCAAGAGAAGCTTTTAGCTGTGCCGTACATGCAGATCGAGATCCATTGGCTCCTATAGGAATCAAAATCTCGTACTCATGTTGTTGTATGAATCCAATTTTTACTACTTTCGGGGTAATTCTGCCCAATGCGCGCAATAATTCTTCATTTCCTCGCAGTCGAAGTTCATTACGCGGCATCCAGAGATATTCAAGTTGACGACCGTAAATTTGACTTCTTGGCTCTTGTGTACCCCCTCCTCATATGCCCAGTTTTTAAATTCACATATGCCGTAGTAATTAAAGAAGGAGAATCATAAAGTCCTTGTCCGGATGCCTTGTAAAAAAGGTGTTTTGACCCCCCAGTCATAAATGGTGTTCCTAGTTCACACAAAAAGTATTTGGATTAAATTTTTTTTAAAAATGATTATATAGAGTTTGAGGTAAGTGAAGTTTTATCCCAGCTTACTTGAAAGTACTATTTAAGTGTTTATGGGTGTCTTAAAACACCACCAAGAAAGATTTGAGGATGGCTTCTCATGCAAGCTTCACGGGCAAATGTTCCTGTGTTTTTGAAAAGTCTTCAGGCCCAATTTTTTGGGTCCAGAAAACATTTTAATATCTCGTGGGCCCAGGAAATAGAAAACCGACTTTCTGGATCTCTTGGGTGGCTGAAGCCTTTTTCTTTTAGTCCACCTTTTTGCTAGGTCCAAAAAAATGTATTTTGGGTCTTATAAAACGGAGAAGTCGTCTTCACACAACCAATCTTCTCTTATCTTTTGTACAGCGAAAAGAATTCACAATTTCACACACTTCAACCAAAGACCCGAACGCGCAGTCTCATTCGTTCGGAACTGCATCTAATGCTTACTAAGTCCTGTCAACGCTTTCACATCTTCTTTCTTTCTTTGTTTTTTTTTTTTGGGCGTATGATCATCTTAAAAATTTTAGTTTGAGCCCTCCACCAGTGTGAATATCGTTGACAGTTTTAAACACCTATCTCTATTCATGAAGAAGCCAAGCTAAACAAAGGGAAAAAGAAGAAATGGTCGTTCTGACTGGACTGAGACGAGTGGCAGGAAAAAAGGGAACGAATCCTGAAGGTGGGCCGGAGGGGACTAAAAGCAGCACTGGATA